CAAGCTTTGCGTGGTTTGGTGCAAGCTTCGCCATTTTTGTAGCGTATACTGCGTTTATGATGGCGCAATTCCTTCGGATATGTTAAGTTTGATGTAAAAGAAAAACTGAATCGTCTCGTCTTCTGTAATCGGTAATGTTTTCATAATCTTCTATCTATAATGAATATTTACCAGCTAATAATAGCAGATTGTCTTAAACTATTGTTATGTACATGTGACTGGATGAGATGTTATCTTATTTGTATTTGTTATTGTTGCTTTTACCATAGCACATGCTTTGAATCAATGCAGTGATATTATACATTATATAACTGACACATTGTATAATATTGTACAACTTTATACAGTTAAACCTCGTTATAATGAGACGGGCTATAACGAAATAATGGATATAACGAGCAAATCCTAATTCCCCTTGAAAGTCCCCATACAAACCAATGTATTCAAAACCTCGTTTTAACGAGGCAAAATACGCCTGTTATGGGATATAACGAACAAATTTTGTTAGGAAGTAAAATTTTGAGCCGATGTCACGACAGTGCACAATGCGAATTTGAGACGGCGCGAATTGAGAACGCGAATTTGAGAACTGTATTTAGCAGTTCAAAACTCCCGCCACGCGCCCTCCAGCAACACGCGCAAAGCAGACGGCACGCGCTGTTTCCGGAGGAGAGGTCGCTGCACGTGCACCGCTTGGCTACCACCGACAGTGGAGCACTCCGCAGCTCTGCGAACGTCTCGCCCTTTTCTTTCCTTTGTGTCTTCTTTATATTCTTCCTCTCCCCTTTCTCATGGCGCTGAGGCGCGCTTCCTAATCTTACATACCCCCTTCCCCTTGAGTAACCGGTTCCTAGAGGGCAGCGCAAAAGAGCGCCCCTTCCTCTTCACAGTCACTTTCTCTGCAAGTGTTGTCGCTCGCCGACGTGAGCCGCGTTGCTTTTGCGTGCGTGATTCTTCTCATTTTCGACCGCTTCCGCCTTATCTTTTATCGTGCTGCGCTCGTGATTCCAGCAACATGAATGCGCCAGGCGGGAAGCGAAAGCGCATAACGCTAAATCAGAAGGTGGCTATGATAAGAGTCGTTGAATCGGCGACCACGATCGCAAACTGCTTTTGACACGCCTCATTTGCCGTTGCACCAGACGCCAGCGATGAGCCATCAGACGAGCCCACTGTGCCGGACGGTTTGGCTACATCAGACGAAGTCGCTGCATCATGGACGGCACTTCGTGACGCCGGTGTCGTGCCTGACAGCGAGTCGTTTTGCGACTATGTGAGTGCGGACTCGGAGGTGGTGGCAACGGAGCAGCTCCTGGATGACGATATTGTGCGCGCTGTCAGTGATCGTAACGAAACCAGTGACGATGACTGTCGACGAACAGGAGACAAACGTGCAGACGGCGTCAGAGGCATTAGACGCGGCGGACGTACTGCGCCGCTACTTCGGCGCTCACGAGGGCGGCGAAGATGGCTTGAACATTGCGGCCGCAGCTGAGCGAGCCATCGTTCGCATCAGAAAGATGCATCAACGTCCAATTACGAACTTCTTTGCAGCTAAGTCTGCCTGAAATGCAAGCTGTGTATTTTGAAGTGCATTAAAACAGGTACATGACTTTTTCCTTTTTATTTGGGAATGCGGTTATTTTGTTGCATACCACCGTGCGGCGGGATGCTATTTCGCCCTCTATTTTTTTGGGGTAAGTACAGTGCATAATATTTGCGGTAAATGCCCGCTACGGCTATAACGAAATATTGGTTATAACGAGCGAATAGCGGCAGCCCTCCAATTTCGTTATAACGATGTTTAACTGTATCATCACTGTTTAACACTTGCGTGAAATTCGTGCTGCAACATTTACCTGAACTATACTGAAGGGAAGTTGGGCCTTCGTCAGGTTTATTGAAACACCCTTAGTCCAGTTTGCTCGGTATGCAGTGTTCGGGCTGTGTACCAGAATAAAGTTTTTGTTTAAAATATTGACTTTATTTTTACTTTGTTGAGAACGGGACAATTGTATAGCACTTCTTATTTGCGCACAATTTTGTACACGCACAAGCCCATCTACCAATTACTTAAGCGGCATTTCAAACTAGAGTTTGATTTTCTCGCATTGACGACGACGTTGGTTCATCTTTTCTGAAAGAGGTTCTCGCCATATTTCTCGGTTGAGCGCCTGCAGACTCGCGTGCACATTTCTTGTGCTCTTATTTGATTTGGTTCTCCTGGCTTGAGCAGGTGCTTATTCTCTGAGGGCGCCGCCATTGTCAGTGATACAAATAGCTTGCTTCTTTCGACTAGGAATAACTCTTTTGAAATATTTTGACGAGCTTGCAGTTTGTTGCTACTTATTTTTTAAAACCGTGAAGATGTGAAATTTGTTTTTCGCTAAGTCGATGTATCGATCTCTACGTATACATTTTCTTCTGCTCGCCTTGTCTTAGCGCTTACGAAACAATGTTTGCAAGCCCTTCACGGTTAAGAGCGTCACTTAGCTACTGCCACAGCCGCCGCCGGTCGGCGATGGTGACGCCGTGCCCCAGCTCGATGGCTTTCGCTGCGAGCTGGGGATGCTCCTCCATGAAGAAGAACACCATCGCGTGCTGAGCTTCAGACACACGGAGGAGACGCTCTTTTTGGCTACCGGTTGGGGTGTCATCCACCATGATTTCGCTCGACAAAACCAAAGGCCTCAAAACACGTGCCGTTTAAATTTAAATAGTGGTGGAGACATGAGTTGAGCAATTGCTTTAAGGGGGCAGACTAGTCACAGACATTTTTTTGTTTATTTCTTCAGTGATCTTGATCAAACTGCACAGGATTATGCAGTTTTTTTCTGCTGATTTCAAATATGTAATTAGTTTTCCTGCAACTCATCTTGTTCCTGAGAGAACTTAAGTTCATCCCCGTATAGTTTAAGGCCGTCAGAAAAAGTGCTTAATTAAAAGTGATACTTTAAGATATGCCAACATAGACTAATGACTATAGGGACTAATGACTCAGCAGTTGGAACTGTTTTACAATTTTGATGAGTAATTAATTAAAAAGGCTTGTGCTCTAAATTCTTCTCCCATACTTGCATTCTACACACATACAGGTTTCCATTGCAAAAAGAATTATTGTTGTACTTGCCCTAGCTGCAGAGATATTAGGCCTCAAAATTGAACAGTCGTAAATTTACTATTTGAGAAAAATGAAAAAGAAAACTGAAAACACAGCTTCTTCAAAAAGTAACAAGCATGGTGCGCATGTTTTGCGATCCTCATAAAAGTGCTCATAAATTCACTGCAGAGCTTCTAACACAGCTGCCGGCAAATTATAAAGAAGCCTCGAAGTCTGTTCTCCCTTTTTTCGCAGCTTCTGCATGTTAACAGCACCAAGAATCTCGATAGTTAGAATGACATTACAAAAAAATTATCACTTGCTAGTGTGTGAAAATTTGCAGAGAGATAGAAAAATACTTGCACAAACCAAATATGTCGATAATAGTGAGCAATAATAGTTGAACACATTAAAAACACTTCTCAACTTGCTATACGGTCACAAGCAGACATCAAATTGTGACGCAGGCCTCCCTTTCCCTCATTGGCTGTTCGCTTCCCCTTGTCCTCGTCACCAATGTGGACTGCCCACTCTTTGCCTTAACGAACGAAACGCCTCCGCCCGAATTTGGAACGCGTACAAGATGTACAAGGCTCTTTGTTGCACCAGCACGTCATGATGTGACTATTCACCCATTCTTTCTAGTAAAATAAAATATGTCATAATAGAGAGTGTGACAAAATCACAATGTTTTGGGTGGGAATGATTAGCATTGAAGCTTTCGAACAGAGTTTCCGAAGTAGGCGTAGCAGGCAGGATCTCCGCCAGCGCTGCAAGTACGCAAATCACTGAAGCAACCAGCACTCTGAGGTTCGCATACATTGCGAATTCTACCAGACTGTCCTTCATTAATTTCTTTATATTCCCAGAAAGAATGGCTAAATTATGACATGCCAACGTGGCAAATAGCATGCGACATGCTGTCCGTGTGTCGCCGCTGTGTTGCAGTGAAGCACGTCTTGTTTTTGTTTTCCACAGGAGCACAGTTTAGCTGATCACGAGACCATTACTTTTCTTTTAACAATTTTATTTTTCGTGCTGGAAGTACCGAGGCTGGGGTACTTCAGCTGCCACTCAGTAGTATTGCTACAGTACATTGCCTAGTGGCTCTTAAGGGCTGTTGTTCCAGCAGTTTTAAGGCAAAATCGGGATCGGGTATTGTCACACTGACCCCCAAAGCTTCAAATTAACTGGACTGATGCTGACCACTGCTTCAAATTATCCGCTCAAACTTACATTGCAAACTATGGGACCACTGAAATATTTCGAATTAAGTGGGATTTCACAATAGTTCGAATTAATGAGGTTTTACTGTAGTTGGTGCCGTGTGGCGCACACTGGTACCTTGCGGATTGGCCCCAGTTAGGTTAAATAGCCGCCGAGCACGAGAGCGCTGTGGTCGCGCAGGTTGCGATTAGTGCTGAGGCACCCAAGGAGCCGTGCAACTGGCAGCAAGGAGGCTATGCTGGCACACGGGAAATAGTAGGGAGTCCCTCTTTGGGTTCTGGCAGTGTGTGCATATGGACGTCTTCTACGGCAGGTCCATGGGCAACGACGCGGTGAGTCGTTTCTTGCAAACTCTTCATGACTCGAACAGTGGCAATGTTGCATTCATGGTTTTTTCTATAAGTGCAATGTTTCTCGTTAGTTTGCCTGTTTGAGTGTTGTATTGGCATATTGTATATGGTTGTTTAGCACATCACTAGTGATGTATTCAATTCAGATGGCGATATTGTCGTTTAAAAAAAAAGTTAATGATTGTACACGTTGGTTTACTCAATCGCATCGGCTGTGTGTATGACATCCTTCTTAATGTCCAGTCGTAGTCTTTGCAACCAGGTTTCTGAAGCGTGATGCGTAAATGTAAAGCAAAGCAGGGAATCTAAACCATATAACATACCGTGGGAGTCTGTGACGTCGCCAACATTCGCAGCCTATTCTGGGCCGCAGCTCCGCCATACGTTGTCTGACCAGAGTAGAATGGCGATTTTATGGGGCTATCTTCAAACCAGATCTGTAAGAAGGAAGTGTTGCCTTACAAATATACAATGGTTGTGGCACAACTCAGACAAGCAAAGAAAAAGGAGGAGAAAGGATAGGGCACCAGTGCTTGTCTGAGTTGCACCACAAATATTATATCAAGATATGAATTTGCAACTAGCCCAAGAAACAGCACTCTTAACATCCTTATGTTTCCAATGCCTTACAATGCTTAATAAAGAATTATATTACGACAGCCACACCCAACTATAAAGAACTTAAACCCAACGAAAGCCTTGATACGTTGACACAATCAACTGTTTATAGATTACTGCAGCAGCTCTTTGTTTATATATACAAAGCATCCCAATTATCACGCAGCACGATTAAAAAGAAAAAAAGGTACGACGTTAGAAGAAGCGAAGCTAGTGCATATTGTTCCCAGTGTGCTGTAGTAGCTGCTACCTACAAATTTATTGTTAATGACAATTAATTAGTCACAATCACATAAGTAATTCAGAAAGTACTTGACTAATTATCAATATATGAATGAGGCAGATGTGCAGATGTTGAAACGACATCTGTCTCATTTACTTTCAGCATCGTACTAATTGCGTGCTCATTTTTGCCAGCTAATAAAGAAAGCCTGCGAAACATTAAAATAGCACGTGACTAGACCGCTGCGTACATCAAGAAGCACCTCCAAACAAGCTCACTTTGATATAGCCAGTAGCAATGAAGTAAATGTAGAAAGAAAAATACGGATCAGGCAATGTGCCAAGAAACGTGCTGCCTTGATCTTACACAGTCAAGCTGTAATCGCTCTAATCATAACACTGATCGGGCCGTGAACAGTTGAGATATGAGTCGTGATAGCGACGTACAATCATGTGGAAGGAACCCTGCAAAACTGTTGTTGGCATGTTGCTGGCACCCAACCTGTGCCCTTGCCAATGTGCAAAATGCCGTCTCTGGCAACAGAAAAGGGGCAAAGCACTTGTTTACAGAAAGCTTATTTGAGGCTTTTGCGGGCGTGAGCGCAGTCACGAGCTATTTTTCATATTTTGCGGGCTTTCTTTATCCCCAGAAAACATGAGCATGGAATTACTACGTAGTTGGAAATAGCACAGATAGGTGTCATTTCAACAGGTGCACATCTGTCTCGTTGACATTATGATAATTAGAAGAGTACTTTTTGAGTTATAAATATATTTAGAATTATTACTCGTCATTGACAAAAAAATTCAGTAGCGGCTACTTCAGTATACTGGGAACCATATGCACTATGCTTCGCTGAAACGCCATTCCTCTTTTTTTTTTTTTAATCGTGCTGCGCGATAGTCGGGCCGCGCTGTATATATACCCAGTCTAGTGGTCATGGCTACATTGTCTGTATGCAATTCGTTTATCCTAGTAGTGTCAACTTATGGCCAAGAAAGAGCAAAATAAATTGCGCACTGGATGAACTGAACCTTCTCCTAGGTCAATGTGTTAACCAGTGATGCAGCGTACGAATAGTGATTGATCACTTTGGTGAAGGCATTATGATGTTCAATGGATGATTCAACGTGCCTTTGTTCCAGAACCAACATGAGAAGTATCGCCTTTCTTTTCATGAAATGAATACAAGTGAAAACTCATTGTGCACACATCTGAAGCTTATGTTTTCGTTCATTTTATATCAAAATGAAACATGGCTGAAAACAGAATAATTAACTATTAAGTCACACTAATTACAATTAATGACACTCGCACCAAACAAGCTACAGTAAACCCTCGTTAGCTCGAACTCGCATATCTCATAATCTCGGTTAAGTCGAAACTTTTTTTCGCCGTGCATTAACCTCCCATAGGTGCTATGTATTTGCCCCCTCTTATCTCGAAACGTTTTCCGGAGGGAACAGTGGACTATCTTCGAATATTTCAAGCCTTAGGCTCACCTTCCCGAAAGAAATTCTTTATAGTCAAAGCACCTGTGCTTTCATTCATTTTCAGTGCTTTTCTCACTCTTGCGTTTTCTCAGCTTTTACGTTTTTCCTACCCAGTCCTCTGAAAAACATATGAACGGGGTTCCACTGTAGTACACAAACGTTATTTTACTCAACATTTCTCTTCACATTCAGAAATGTAGGTGAACATGTTTTAATTTTACTGTGAAATAGTGTTGAGCTATCAAACTATTCCGCAGAAATAATGAGAATAATGAAGTTTATGGTTTGACAAAAACATCTGGCAAGGAAAAGTCATGGTTGAGAAAAACATTCAATCGCCAACTAAAAGGAACACAAAACAGTACTGACGTTTCGGTGTCCAATACAGGCGCCTTGTTCACAATCTTGTGAACAAGTCATCTATATTGGGTGCTGTAACATCAATTCTGTTATTTTGTGTTTTCTTCTAGTTGGCGAGAGTAATTTTCTTCAACTATGATAACAACAACGATAAAAATTCTGCGGCCTACTTTTTGTCTCTTGACGAAGCTAGGTGACCCAACGAGACTTGTTCGACTGCTGTTGCTGGGTGAAGCGCCTCGCCGCAGCTGTGACTGTTGCAATGCCCACTCGCTGGGCTGCTCTGGAGACCGTTCCAAAGTACGCTTCAAGGTCTGTCCCAGTGGCCGTTCAGACAACCGTTCGGATAGCCGTTCCGATAAACGTACCGGTGATTGTTCATATCTTTCCGATGGCTGCTCAAATAACCTTCCTAACGTTCTTTCCAAAGGCTGCTCCTGTGGCCGCTCCTGACGTCGTTCTGAGGGTCGCTGCAATGGCGTCTCCGGAAGCAACGTCGCAGGCACAGAGGGGCTAGGCGCCACTTCATTAGGCTCGCCGTCCGGCCCCACAGCACAGTCTCGCGTCGACCGTGGTGGGGATCCCAGGGACATACAAACAGACGAGTCTCTCTCACCTGCATAAGATACAGCAACGAGATAAATTTTGTAAGAACGCAAAACCGAACTAATTGGTATGCATTTATCTTTAACTGATGCAGCCCAGAGTATGAGGATGAAGAATTAAGAAGCACAGGACAAATTTGGAAAGACGGGTGCTCAAACGAATTCAAGTAATCAAGATGTAATAATCCAAGTGGAAGAGCATATACATAATTTCTTCCACAATAGAGCTGATAGCTAACACAAAATATCCGGCAGAAGTATTTATATGTTCCAGCTGAAACTAAATACGTATATGTGAACTATGCAGCAGGAGCACGGGAAGGAACCAGGATGAACTGTAATTGCTGTACACAGCGCTCTGTCCTTGACCTGCAGTAAATTTATGGGGTTATATGCACCAAAATCGCATTATGATTGTGATGCACTTCCTAGAAGGGGATTCAACAATGTTGATATAAAAGCACGCTGCACCTGCGTGGCTTTTCAAAGTCACTTATCACCACATAACAGTGTAAATCAAAGGTATACTGAACAAACTTTTTGCCGCCAAGATTTTCAGCCAAATTGAGAGATTGGGTGTTGAAATCAACCAGCCAATCCTTCATTTTAGGCAGGAACTAGAGGAAAATAATGATACAGTGGAACCACCATTACACGAATTCAAGGGAACCATGCAAAGCTGTCCTTATAATCCATGCGTCGTATAATAAAAAAACTAAGATTAAGTGATACTATGCCTTGCCAAACATGACGGGTACAGACTGCCTGAATAAGCCCACGGCATGACCTTGTGCCTCTGTAAGAAAGGTATATTATTCTTGCCAGTGGGAGCTAATGACATTATTAGTTAGTTGGAGGAGGTGTGAACGAATCTTTATTCTCAACCTTAAAAAAAATCAAATTCCATGCGCATCTTTTTAGAAATAATTATACCATAAAACCCCGTTAATTCGGACTTCACAGGACCGGAGAGAATGTCCGAATTAACCGAAGGTGCGAATTATCGCGAGTACGAATGAAACACTTGAATAATGTCTTCTACACCATCAGACTTTTCTTTTCTTAAAAAGCCTGTGATCGCAGTTTGATTCACGGACGCAATGTGCGACGAAGTCATAATTTTGCGAAGTTCCTGCAGGTGGCTTAGTCCGCGCACACTGTCCGAGGAAAGCATGCACATGTCCTCGAAAACGGCCAACCCATGCGCAGCCTTTGTCATAGTGTGGCGTGGACGCTTGTCACCATCACTTACATCCTTGTCAGCAGATTCCCCTTCGCCATCTAAGACTTTGGCGACGATATCGCTGTCGGTCAGTGTGCAGGCCACGGCAACATTGCTGTCAATTGCAAAGTAATCGCCCAGGGGCACATCAGCTGGCATGATGCTCACATAGCGGCCATCTTGCTCTTCGCCAGATTCCTCATCGGCCACCACCCCCAAATCAGCAGCAGTTTGCATGAAGCTGTTATGCCTAAAGCAGTTCGCAACTACTGCAAGCGGTGTGTTGTTCCACACGTATGTCAGCATGTGGATTGCGCTTAGCAGGCTTACTTTGTACTGCTTGTCTGACTCTATACAGAGCAACAGCTGCTCGAGTACCTGCTGTTGATAGTAGCTTTTCATGAACTGTATGATTCCCTGGTCCATTCGCTGCAGGGAAGCCGTTAAGTTTGAAGGCCGGAATAGCGGTTCAATGTTCTCAAGCCCGGACACCTTCGTGTGCGCACTACAGTTGTCTAGTATGAATAACACCTTTCGTGCGTTGGCCGCAAAGCGGCGGTCGAACTGATGCAGCCAGGCTTGAAAGAGTTTGGCAGCCTTTGTGTTGAACCGGTAGTCGACAGGCAGCTGCTTAATATTCTTGAAACATCTTAAAACACGATTGACTTGTCAAGCAGACCCTTATAGAACAGCACTGTCTCATCAGCGTTTAAAATGTTGCACGGCTCGTACGTAGAAAGGCACGCAGATAGTCCAGAACGCCAGTCCTGCTCAACACTTTCGTCAACCGCACCTTTTTCACCACACACGATGCGCAACACCAGCCCGTGTCGCTTCTTGAAGCGGTCAAACCAGCCTTACGACAGACTGAAGGAGTCAATGTTCGTGGTCACTGCGAACTTCTCTGCTTGTGTGCAGATAAGGGGGCCACTCAAGGGCAAACGAGCATCGCGCGAAACGGCAATCTAGCAAAACAGCACTACTTCTAGCTTGGGATGCGCTGCCCTTCGAAGCCTCTTCCTTTGGTCGCCAAACATGTCCCCGTCATACGCTTGTATAATCTGCTCTTCGTTCTTCACGTGAGTGCTCAGCGTGCTTTTCTTCACATTGAACTTTTCCCATGAATCCTTTTCGAGATGCTCTCGCTTGCAACGCCTTCAATATTTTCACCTTCGCAGCCAAAGCCTTTGCTTTGCACTTCGCCCTCTTCGCTGTGAGAGTTGGGACGGTTAGGGCCGCAGGAAGACCGAGGGGAAGCCATCCCAGCGTTGCTCGCGCGGTGGTCATGCGCGCACGAAGTACACAAACATATACACTAAAAAAAACAAATGCACGGTGATAAAAACAAAATGAAAACCGACAAACTTTTCAGAAAATAGCAAACAGTAAGACTGCAGATGGCACTGATCACGTACAGATAAATAATTTAAAGCACACTAGAGGTGAGCAATCCCACTCAACCGTCACGCAAACGTGTTCTACGCGCAAGAAAAAAGGAAAGGCAAGTTCGTAGGTTGCCCATTGCTGATGACAGTAGTGATACACTGCCTTTTATTTTGATTGTTTAAACAACCATGTGTGGGTTTTTTTTTTTTTTTTTTGGGGGGGGGGGTGCCTTCGAGATGTACTATCCATGGACAAAGTTTTGAATCTCAGAGGCCGCAATCTGATCCCAAAGTTGTTTAGATTTTAGTTGTCTATTTCGCCGGCAAAATCCACTGCTGCTTCCCCGTCGTGACTCGACCACGGTCGGGCGTTCTAATTAACCGAAGCGTGGCCGAATTTGTCCGAATTAATGAGTTTTCAGTCATAGAACAATTTACATTTTGGACGAGACCAGGCGCCGCAGCCAAATTAACCGAAATTTCGATTTAACTGGGGTCGAATTATCGAGATTTTACTGTAGTCTGAAAATTGCCTGTGCTTGAAAATTATACCGAAACCACGTTGCCAACTGCTTCCCTTCAGAAAAGTCAGACACAGGTACTTGCTATCGCATAATGCTGAAAACCTCGCGTAGAATGTGTTAGTGCGGCTTGTGCGCTACTGAGCTGTGCGCGTTGTAATTTGTTGCCTTGTGAAGTGCAACTGCTGTGGTGTCCCGCTTCGTACTATGAACATTGATGTGACTTGAAAGTAATTTTGCATGGCCGAAAACATTTGTATCGGGCCCTATGTGTTCGCAAGCCTGTGACTGCAAGTGCGACAAAGGCAGATCAGCTGTATGTCGACCAGGAAAAGTTTTCCCGGACTGGAAACGTGAAAATCTCAGCTTTTCAGCTGGCTGAAGCTACTCTGTGTAGATAGAGCTCGACTTAGTAATGAACCCGAATACGTTTGTACGAGACTAAAGCACATGTAGAAGTGCATGAACTTCCCTTCTAAGAGACATCCCGTCTCGCTCCGTATTTTTCTAATTGTCAGCCCAGGGAAATGATAGATCATGTATTAGCACTTGTGAATATTTCGATCGACGTTTGATCCGAGTAAAGGTGTTTTTTTCTTTTGGACAGAATCTGAAAGTCACCGTGAGGTGCAGGGCCGGCGTAAAGCTGTGTTCTATAAGAAAGTTTTTGAAACATTATTTCTGTGAAGATTTTGCCGGGACCAAACCGATTCGTCGTAAAATGCGGGTCGTCGTGGAATGAAGGACGTATAATCGAAATTCCACTGTATTAATTAGTTTTTCACATACTGCTGCATCTGGCAGCCACACCATGAAATAGATGAGGTGACATTACACTTGCCCGAAACGTGCATCCCAACAATGTCAGCAGTTGCCCATGCCTTTCAACCCCTCAGCTCCCACTGCGATTTCCAAACCACTACGGTGGCGAACAATGCTTTTGTCTGGGGTAATGCATCAGTGCATTTGTAGAAGGGGAAGGAAAGGAGCAGAGGAGAAAAAGAACATGTGCACTCTGCATGCGCTTCGGAAAATAGGACAGCACCACCCAATACAATTCAACAAAAATACAGTGCCTCGCCGCGGTGGTCTAGTGGCTGCTGACTCGCAGGTCACAAGATTGAATCCCGGCTGCCGTGGCCGCGCATTTTCCATGGAGGCAAAGTGCTGTGTGCCTGTGTGCTCGATTTCAGATTTGGGTGCACAATAAAGAATCCCAGGTGGTCGAAATTTCCAGAGCCCTCTACTACGGCGTCTCTCAATCATATCGTGGTAGTGGGAACCCCACATATCAATCAAATGAAAAACCAAAAATACAGCCAACTGTTCAAAAATACGGGAAATAAACTGTTTATTAGAGAATGGTGGAGTTTCATTTTTATGTTCAGCATCCGTTTTACGACCCAAAACATTGAGGCATGCAATTTGATTTTGAGCCTATACGAACTTTTGGTGCTGAAAGCTGAAAAAAAAAAAAAACCCCTTCTGTAAATCTAATGAGATGAAATTTAGGAGACTCTCCATGCCTTATTAATGCAGTTCAAAAACACTTCAGCACAGCTTTGTAGCAGCTAGAACCTCATTTTGGCATGGATATTATAGTAAGCTTAATCTCAGAATAACAGAGAGCTAAGCATGTTGGTAAATGATAATTGATGGGATTCGAAGTGCCAAAACTACAATTTGATTATTAGAGACGCCACAATGGAGGGCTCCGAAAATTTCGATCACATGGGTTCTTTAATGAGCATCAAAATCTAAGTATGCACGTCACCGGCATTTTAGCCACTATCAAAAATGCAGCCGCCGTACCCCGGATTTGATCCCGCGACCTGCGAGTCGGCAGTCGAGCACAATGACCCTTCGACCACTGCGCAAGGTCTGAGCGGGTTGGAAGGAATTCGTGTTAAGAGACAGGGTGTGCAAACAAGGACAAGAGAAATCAAGACAAACCCAGTTTGCAGTATCTTGAATTCTCCGTTGTGTACTTGTTTGTCCACCCTATCCCTTTAGCATGCAAGTTTAATTCATCAAGAAAGTGTAGAAAAAAAATTATTCCATTTCATGTACAGAGCACCTGAAACACAAATGGCAAGTGCCTGATAGTGTCCCCTGTAAGTTAATATTACACAACTTCTTCAATGCATTTAACGATTTCGAGTAATGAACTAAACGAGTATCCTATGATGGCAACACGACTTGGAGAATCGGAGCGGTGACATCAGGAAACCTACGTGCTATATGCTACATTTCATGTACATGCCACCGCTTTGGTGTACCAGTACCTCTGGAAGGTGAAGCTGCGTCTCCAGGCAACGAGACATAGTCGTCGTCGTCGTCGTCGAATGAATCCGAACATGAGTGTCCACCTGGACGCGCACAAGTAGATGTGCGAGATCATTCAAGTTTTTATCTATCACATGTGTACACATTTTTGTTCAGAGACTACAATCTGCTCACTCAAGAGACCTTCTCAAAAATATTGTATTGGCCATACAAATCTACGATGTAACAGCTTCTGTAGTTCTCACCCGACATTATAGCTCATGGCTATCTCAAAAAGCATGCAGAAGAAGCCACCCTGCACTTCTAGACATTAAAGTTAAATTAGATTACCTTTAAGCAATCTGCTTTCTGTAAAAGGTGCATTGCATCTTGCAAGCATGCTAACTCTTTGCTGTAGTCCGGCTCACCGTCCAACTTTGGTGTCTGCACACCTTGAAGGCACAACAACTTAGATACACTAACCAACCACATTAGCTTGATCCAACGAAATTCTCTGCTGAGTACGTAGTTATTATCTGCTGGTAGATTTTTTCAGCTAGGTAGCTGGTCACTTATCTGCTTCTGTGACTGCTCAAAACACTCAAAGTTACAGTGATAGCTATATTACACATTCACACACCTGCCGTCTTTTTTTTTGTAACAGCAAAGCTGTTATTAGTTAATCCTTTTGCCATTATTGTTATGCAGCTGGGCGAATTTGCCCATGTGGTGGAGGTGACCAATAAGAAGCTCAGTTACATTCAAGGTGTTAAGCTTTGAGGAAGAAGCCACTCTCCTGCAGGCAGCTGTGGGAATCGTCACAAGAGCACCTGGCTGTTTCTCAATATCTGCCATCTGTAGAATTGGCCTTACTTTACTTTTTGTTCTGTTCACTAAAAAACCCCGGAAATGTGTTATCACACAATTACTTCAAGTTGTGCCCATTCTGTTGAAGTTCGGCAGGATGTAGCAGGCGTCACTTCTTGGCACAATTTCATACAAGTGGTGCAGAAATCGCGTCACTGCTAATGCAAACAGTGCAATAACATGGTCTATAATCAATGGAACACATTACAGAGCTCCACACCACCTTTCAAATGATATTTGTTGACTGTAGCTGACAATTATAGGAGTGTAGTTCAACTGCAATAAAGTTCATTTTTCAACTCTGCACGCACTACAACAATGTGTAGTGCACGCACACAAACAAATGTGTGCGTGCTTTCGACGCAGGCTTTACCATGAAGTAAAAATCAAAACAATACCCCTCCCTTCCCCCTGAAACCGAAACAAGTTGAATAAAAGGTCTTCTGGCTGTTGTTTTTGGCAAGCTGCAATGATGATGATGATTAATAACAATAACAATAAACTCAAAGGCAGCATGATCACACTGTGGGAAGCATGGCTTAGAAGCGCCTTCAATGACGAGCAGACACCGGTGCAACAGCTCAAGGCACTGGAGACGTAAATCTCAAAGGCCTTATTTTTTTATCTAAGCATGCCATAGGCACCATCCTGCAATTGTGAATACTGATCCTGAATCCTGTGCTTTCACTGCTATAAGTGGGACTGGATTAGAATCAATCATGCCTACGTTACATGGTGTATGTGATAAGTGTGCAAAGCAAGAGGGAGGGGGGGGGGGCACAGGCGCTTCCTCGGAATGATGCGAAATTTTGGAATTGGTCGTGAAACTAGAAAGGTGCTTGTTTAGAACTCACTGTAGTGCATTTTGCATTAACAGTAAAACTTAAGGAACACAAGGCATCCACTCCACGATGTAGACAGCACCTTGACATCTGCAAAGCAACATGGATGATCGATACACAACTGCTACAATAAACTAATACTACATGAACGGTGCAGTTCACCATTCAGGAAGACATTTGAACATGCAGCTCTCACTGTCCTGGTGCAATAGCTAAAAGTGACATCCGTTAATTTCCTCACAGAGTTGAAGTGCGAATGGCTAATCACACGTCACCTTTCGCAAAGCACTTGACAGAGAGGACAATTCGTGCGTAGACAGTTATGTGTTCTTTATAACAGGAAACCACGCTGTATAAATCCAGCCCACACTAGAAATATGTTACCACCTCACCATTTATAAGCTCTGGTCTTTGATCGATGACAGGCTCAGATGAGGGTTCACTCAACCAGGAGGGTGTCAGCAGGTGACGCACTACCGATGTCATAGTTTGCAGCACAGACTGCAGCAAGTATAAAAGCAGGCTTAATGTCACAAATTGTGGAACACTTCTTGCATTGATAATCTTTCTCCAACACATCATAGCGGACCTATTATACCAAAGTCACAAAGTCGGACACTTTGTTCGGCTGTGCATTGAATTTTTTAATCAGAATCAACTATGATCACTTCTTGATGTTCTAGTAACCTGAATCAAGCACGGCTCAGCTCAAGTGCATTGGTTCTCATGAGTAGGTCCCAAAACTTATTAATATTATCTAGTACGATCTGAAATGTCTATTGCAAGTCCCCCCCCCCACTAATTTTTTTTTCTTCTGGAACCTACCTCACTTCTAGTCAAGTGTAACAACAATCAAAATATCCGGCTTCCAGAACTAGTCAATACATATTGTTGGGGAAGTAAGTAAAACATGACTGAACAACGGTGCCAGAAACAAGGCATTTGTTTTGCCGTTATTTCTTGTCTTATATCCAGGGCACCATTGCAGAGCTAATTTAAAAATGACACAGTGCAGTGGTCACAAACACAGATCTGTGACCATAAGTGAAAATTCTCAATTTTAGGACATACACTCTCGGAAAAAGTCTTCTTGTGTTTGACAAAACTCTAGTTTTTAGTGTTTCTTAAGGGACATAGTGAGCTAGAGGTTGCAGATAGACTGCAATCGGAGAGCTTGATCACTATGCAAAATCGTAACTGCTGCAACCAAAATCGAGCTCAATTTCAATAATGCATGAGCTCGGTTCTAAAACTGTCATGATAATATGGTTAGATTATGGAGCAAATGACTTACTCTAATTGTAGACTAATTACTTACACAATTTCAGAAACTGTGCCAGTGAACCGTTCATCTCAGCTATTTGGGTGTCAAGATGGTGCACTTTGGTAATGAATTGGCATGGGCAATGTTCAGAAGCACCAGATGAATTGTGCACTCGTCACAAAACATGGAACAGTTAAAGAGGGGTGTTTTTCTCCCCCAAAAGAGATGTAGAAGTGTGTTTATGAGCTCCACCAGAGTGCAAATGTTTACAGCATTAGAACCAATTTTCTACAACTGTTTTGATGCTAATACATCCACTGCAACGTACAACCATTATAACGAAACATCAAGATACAGACAATGCATATTAATACAGGACCACAGTTTTTATGCAAGGGTTCTAGATTACAGTTAAAAGGTTATTCATTAATGCTCAATCAACACGTGCGCATCATGCAATTTTGAACGTTTCGAACTCACCCGAGAAGGGAAGCACCGCGTACAAATTTAGACCGCCGGAAAACTTCGCGGGGGTTCATGCGTCATTTTTGTTGCGATTAGTTTCCGTTCCTTCTCACGTAAAGTTGAGCGCTGCGGTGATGCCCAAACAATGCACCGGTTGAAATGTTTCTTCTCAATAACGACTGTATTGATAACCAGCTCAAGCTAATTGGTTTTACACAGAGTTAGTCGGTAGTTGTGGGCAACGCCAGCTCAGTTGTACACTTCGGCATTGGTTTCGCTTTAGCAGCAACACTTGGAGTCTTCCGCTGACGTCATACGCAGCCCTCAAACACCTCAAGAATCAAGTGCTTTCAAGTCTGTTTTCATCTTGCCGGTAATTTTAAATACGGCGATTGCAAGCCCGCACAAACAATTTTCTTTTTTCTTAATAAGACGAGACTTTGAGTTACACTCACTGGCGCTGGCCTCTTTACCACCGTTTAATATTGGCTTCGACGGGCAAGGAAAACAACGACAGTTTCTCGGCGCTGCAGCCCGGATTTCGTCCTTCCGCTCGGAGCGATAAAAAATTCTCAATGAAACATGCCGGGCCACTGCGTCTTTAGGCTTAACTCACCCTGGGTCTTTCGTAAGGTCTCAGCCTATGTTCCCTCTCATCATTACGGCGGGTGGGTCTTCCTGCCATGGCAAATGGCCCTCCTAGTACGGAGAGACAAAATTAGATAAACTGTCACACTTCCCAACTTGCATGAATCACGAGAAGCGGTTTTGATGGTCCCGCGAACCGCTTCGTGAAACACACACACGCGCGAACTGTGCTGTTACTGCTGTTTAGATGAATGACGCAGATGTAGTGACTATGACCAATAGAGCTGCTGTAGTGAACAATTGAATGCTGCGTGTCTTTGACCGCCACTTACTTACTTCCCCTCTCTTTTTTAAATTAAAAAGCATTTACAAAATTATAAAGAAACGAGTAGCTTTGTCTCTAAAATAATTTTAAATAAATTACCCAGCTGTGCACTTACGTACCTACGTTACAATATAATGTGCATTTTAAACTTTTTTTTTAATAATCGCAGGCAAGAAGCAAACAAAGTGGGTTTAAAGCAAACTTTATGACAGAAATAAAGTAATTACACTAAGCAAATAATTTAAATTTGTGAGTGTGGCATTGTCTGTAGAGTTTCTGCAATATTAGAAAACGTTGGCGTCCGAAGCATAATTATTTGGCTAGTTTTTTTTTTTAGCAGACGCCATTAGCCATTTCAAGTCGCAGCCGCTTCTGTGTGCGCCGGCTCTCGTACGTAGTCTACGTAGTACATGACTTTCTATACTTAGAGCGTTGCATCATGCGCGAAATCGGTGACTACTTACGCGTATATAACTCTGAGTAATTCCAGCTGCTGGGGAAAACGGGCAAGCTTCAGCTACCTAGTTCGAAATCGCCGGCGAATTCAGATAGTGTTCCGAAGTTGTGAGACGTAACCCCCGTCCACCGTGCCCCGTCATTGATGAATATCGGTCTTAGAAAATTAATTTCGAAAAAGGAGGTCGATCGAGCTATCAAAGAAACAATAGACAAGGTGCTTGTGTTGAGATTCGGGGAAGAAGCTGACTGTCTGCGGATTGATGACGTTGTAAGTTAAACTGGCCACTGGTTTCGTGGTGCACGCGTTCATTGAAAGTGCTGCGGCGCGTGAATTGCTTTTTGACCGCACCGTTGTTGTGCAGCTGAACAAAGCGGCGCCTCTGCTGTCTCGTATGGCAGAGGTGTACGCCGTCGAGCCCCACTCCGTGCCAGTCTATACGAGGTACTTCGACGTGACCATCACGCCAGCCACGGTATTTTTTTTCAATGGTCAGCACATAAAAATAGAAAGCAGCAGGTAAGCTAACGGCATGGCTGATATTGGAAAACTTATTGATGGAAATTGCTCAACAAGAATGTTCACGTACGCCTTGTAGAGCTGTGCTTAGACGAATATGCACGCGGCGAAAGGAAGTTAAGAATTTCATAAAAATGAAGAAAAAAAAATTGCAGTTCCTTCTGCAGTTGAACCCAACCAATTATATTACAGCTCTTTCTGTAGCAGTATTTTCTGTCTCATCTCAAGTCTTCATTGGTTATCTGTTAAAGTTAACACAAAAAATAAAATAAACCTGCTTCTAGCGATAGCTCTGCCAGTGTGTACATCATAGTAATGAGATACAAAGTACTGAAGTTCCCCATATTCGTTTGAACTGATATGCTGCGAGAAACTCAAGCGCATAGACATTGCTTTGTACAGGCACAAAACTAAACCCAGCATGTCACTATAACTTTTGTTGCCATGGGTCTGTTCAAAAAGTCTGTGCTCACTCTGAGGCACAGTATCTCTAGTGATTCTGAACTCGCCATCCGAGTCATATTTGAAGTCTTTGGCAATACTGGTGTTGGACCTATTCCAAGAATCCAGTCCTTGTTCGTGAGATATCACAGCCGCCAGCATTTCTCATGCATGTCACCACTTATTAACCACTGTTGCCATAGTAAACAATAGCCAAAGGTGCAAAAGATATTTTTCTGCTCTTCTACCACCTTTTCTAGCTGAAAATTGCAGCTATTGCTGACTATGACTCCGCTTTGCTGCTAAGAAGAGTACTTGTTGGCTTAGACAAGTGTGAGTTACCATTAGTGATTATTGGTGCAACTTGTAATGACAAAAGTGGCTTTGGCTTTAAAGAGTTAGTCATATTCCCATATCACATCAATTTTACTGTGAGTGGACTCTTTCAGAAGCTGCCTTGCAATCTTGAAGGAAAAATTTGCTGTAATAAAATTGCTAATAACTTGTGGGGACTGTTATTACAAATTGCAAATGTATTGGGGAGACCGATGAGTTCAAAAAACACGTGAAATAGTACAAGTATGACTGCCGGAACTCGTGCATGGCCATGAATGCCCTTGCTGAACACATGAAATCTACAGCTCACGATGTCAACTGGAAATTGCATCTAATTTAGTTAAGAAAAAGAATGTTACGTCACATTCAGCTGCATCTGAAATTTCTTGCACATTGACCACTGTGCACACGCTGAATAGAAGCGATGAGATGCTTCTGACAATGTACACGCACTGCTGGCTTGCGTCACCCACTGAAGTGTACTTGAATACACTGTGCATCTCTTATGGGCTTTCATTGTGAACAAAGCTACCCAATGGGAGCCAAAACTTCATTCGATTTTCACTTATTCGTTTTGTCAAGTGTAGTTTTGTGAATCTCAACATGCTCACAGTTGGTGCAAGATGGACCTGTTCGATTTCTGACTTTCCGCTTTCAGGAGTGCCGACCACACCAAGTTTGTGGGCTCCTTCAAGACCAAGCAGGATGTAATTGACCTGGTGGAAGTGGTCTACCGGGGTGCCATGCGAGGCAAGCTCATTGTGACATCCCCGATCGAGACTTCCCACACACCTCAGTACAACCTGCTTTACAAGGACATCTGACCACCATGTGGGCTGCACCTGTGCTGCGAGCAGTTAGCCGCGAGCTGCGAGTGGCAGCGAGGCTGCACGGGCTCAGGTCTAGCGCAGGAACTCTACTGCTGAGGTGAGTAAGTCTGTATGACCATACAGTTTCCTAAAATTAACTAGAGGGGACTCTGGTGCTGCTATTATTCAGCGACCACGGGAATGATGGGTAGTACACAGATTTACCTAGTATTCATGCTTGTGGGCCTCGAACGCACTTGTGGCTTGATTTATCGGAATGTTTCGGTTTTGTTTCGAATAAAAGAACAAACCGTTTTGAACTTCGTGAGCTGATTTGAATTGGTGAGCCTAAAAGTTTAAGGTGGTGAAGTGCAACTGCTGAACATTTTGCTGATTGTCGTTTCGTGACAAAGCAGCTGTAAGCCACGTGAAGCCCACCGGAGCCGAAAGTATGAAAATTAGGCAAATCCTTGTACGATCCATCATTCCCATGTTTGCTGAAGTGCCATGCATTGCAGCTTCCATACACGCTAGTGCCAAAGTTCCCTCTAGTGTATCTGTAGAAAAACTATGTGAATGACCCCTTCAGTAGCAGTGGCTATGTTTGTGCACGAAACCTATTCATGCTAGTTGTGTCAACTTGTAGCCAAAACAGAGCAAAATAAATTGCTAACTGGATGATTTGGAACCATCTGCATAGTCAATATGTCTTGACTTGACCTCACTGTTCCGTGAGTCACTGTAACCAATCACTTTAGTGAAGGCACTACGATGTTTGACTGGTTGTTTGACGAGCTGCATTTCAGAAACAATTTCAAAGGTACCTATTACTTTTCTTGAGATGAATGCAACCAGAAAATAATTGTGCATGCAATTTGTGTCTACAATTTCATTCTATTTATGTAAATATGAAAAGTGGCTGCAGGATAATTAGACACCTATTACATGCTAATTATAACGAATTGCCAAAATTCACACACAACATTACTTCATTTCCTTCCCTGGAATGTCATAGCTTTGAATTGTGCTATCCGAGTTTGATGCATGCACAGACAGCGCATCATAATTGCCGCCTGAAGGAGATAACACTTCATCATTGGAATGCGGCGCTTATGATCTTGAAGAGAAGGAAACAGAATTATCCCACTCTTCAGCTTCGTCTTTGTCAAGCTTTGCATTGGCCCCACCACAGTGGCCTAGCAGTTGCAGTGCTTCACTGCTGAACCGCAGGTTGTGGGATTGAATCTTGGCCATGGATTTCGATGAGGCAAAATAATAGAGGTCCATGTACTCAGGTTTAGGTGCATGTTAAAGAACCTCAAGTCGCGGAAATTTTTGGAGCCCTTCACAACGGCATCAATGTTTATGGACGTAAAAACACAACAATTATTGTTAAGCCTTGCATTGCGCTCTGCAACACAAAGCAACAAGTGCCTGCTGGGCCAAAGATCCTCCCAGAGTCTTTCTTTGTTTAAACGTATCAGTTTCTTTGAGCACAGTCTCTTCTTATTGAGTATCATTGATAACAATTATCTGCTGTCACACACTCCTTGCCGTACTTTTTTTTACAATTTTCTGTGATAACTCCAACGAAAACCAGCTCTGGCAGTAGTGGACGGTGTTGCCGTCGAAATAGTCTGTTACGAACCTACAGCAGCTTATGCTGTCAAATGCCTTCATTATACTCAGTATTTGTCATAAGCAGAAATTGATTTTGTCGCTTGCTAATATCAGTCAGAAAAAAACTCACATGGCCCCTTTTGCACTTACCAAAAGTGCCTCTAAGGCAAAAGCCATCTTCTTTTTCTTTTCTGACGATGTATTAAGCAGCAGGGAACATGAGACCTTGGCCTCGTGTGCTACTGCCAAGTGCCATCTTTATTGTCTTCGTCTGAGGTTGGGCACTCTCAAGCTTTGTTTGCTGCCCAGAGGAGGGCGCTGCAACGTCGTCATGGGGTGTTATATCATACGACGTCACGCCAGAATTTGTGATGCCATAATGACGTCAAAATTTTTTCCAGTTTGTGATGATGTCGTACGGTGACGTCATCACATGATAATTTTTTGCATCCCTCATCCCCGTTGCTGTGGGACAGGTGACCGCTGGCGGTCAAATTTACCATTTGATGAGGCATCCAAGGCTTTCACCATAAAGGACTGTATGTATATATTTACTTTGCTATACCTGCAATAGTTACGCTGAGGTTCAGCCGAATTGTGTTCCAATATATTTTTGTTTTCTCAGGGGTGCCTGCTTGCAGCAGCGCCTTCCCGTGCCATGGCAGCGCAGGGGACTGGGATTTGCAGCCGTGCCTGTTGGCCTGGGCGGCTACCTGATGGCGAACAAAAGCAATGGCAAAGGCTCAAGAGGAAAGGTTGTTTCGTGCTGCCAAGCTTGGCAATGCGGACGAGCTTCGACGACTCTTGGCCGACAAGAGTGTGGACCCAAACTGCCGCCACGCGCTAGGCTGGACGCCGCTGCACGTTGCGGCCATCAGTGGGCATGGCGACTGCGTCCTGGCCCTTCTCGAAGCTGGCGCCGACATTGACGCTGGCGATGAATTCAGTAATGTCTACCAAATGGCTCGTGAGAAGCAGCTTCATTCCTTAGAGGTAACCGAAGTTCCGTTGATTAACTGTGCTGTAGTTTGGAACTGGGAGAATGCGTGCAAATGAATTAAATCGAAGTGCCATTATTATTAGTAAAGCAGATGCTCTCAATTGAAGAATAAATTTGATTATGAACACTGCACAATATCGCTGGTTGCCACATTTGTAAAATAGTTGGTTAGCGCAAGTTCCCTCAACACATCAGCCCAATGCTCTGCCAATCAATGAGGAGACTAGCATCTGTTTATATAATAAGGTGAAGGCGTCATAGAGTTAAGCTTTTAGTTTGAGATGGCATTGGTTACTGCCACTCAGCGTGCCTGCTAGATTGGCTGTCGCTACTTCTGCAGCCCTGGGCTGGTTATCACAGGCCACCAGGAGGCAGGTGATGGTTAATGATGACGATTTGCTAGTTCACTGTGGGCCACAATGTAGGAAAGAGAGCTGACTTAGTGTGGCAAACTAGCTTGGTGAAACTTTATTTGAGTTTCCACCACGTTCGCAGGTGGCGCTAAGCGAACAGGGTCTGCCAACCACTAATCGCATTTGTACAATTCATACCGACAACAGTGTCGTATTTTTACAAAACACCAATAAAGACAATTTAGCATAAAACATGGCCTCGCAGACAAGTGAGCTGGAGCCCAGAAATTTTACTCACATTATACCGGCCTCCGTGCGCCGTCTGGTGAACGAAAGGTTAACATGACAATTTTTCGATGCGGCTTCCCCACTGTGCTTCTGAGCCCATGTGTCACCTCTCCTTCATACATACACCGTGGCGAGAGCATTTCCAGGTGCAGGGATATGTTTTGCTTTGTAGAAATGACAGTACGAGGGATATGTGCAGCTTAGAAGCTATAATACTAATAATATTAAAACACTATTATTATGGAGTTTACCATTTCAAAACCATAAACACATGCTTATGAGGGGTGTTGTAGGGCAGGGATCTCAAAAACACGGCCCGCGTCCTGTGCATGTGACTGTTCATAATAAAACGATGTGACTGTTCATAACATTGCAAAATGGTGCTTTGTGCGAGTAAGCTACAGAGACGTCCTAATTAGGCTTTTTTTTCTTGAGGCACCCCATGTGGTCGCCTTGTACAGTGCAGTCCACTTATAACGATACCACATATAACGATATATCGGTTATAACGATGGGTCGACTTAACAGTCTCATTTTATGCATTGGGGCTATGGGGAAAAAAACCATATATAACGATATGTTATCCACCGCATATCGGATACAACGATGAAAAGTTTGCCGTGGACGGCATGTTTCATTCAGAATAATCGTTACATTTAGATTGATAAGTTCCTCTGAAACGAACTATGCCGAGACAAGACGAAAAGTTAGCGTAGGTGAGTACGTATCTGCCGCCACTGCAGCACAGCGCCGGCAGCGCGTCCCGGCCGTTCAAAAAGCCGAGGAGAGCATCGCGAGTTGGCGCGACGCGCTACAGATGGCGCCAGCTGTGTCACGTTTTGCGCCTCGCCGCGCGTCGACCGCGGAGAGGCTGAGAGAATTTAAAAAAAAAATGCGAAAAGCAAAGCGCCGCGCTCCGCGGCTCCCCGCCTTCTACAACGGCAAGCCGGCAAGCTACTCGTAGCTTGCCGAACGAAAGCGGGAAAGAGAGAGAAAATAAGAAAAGCGAAAAGCAAAGCGGCGCGGCGGCATCGGGGCGGGGCCTCGTTGGCATTCCGGCTGTGTACCTCTGGCTGTGCTTTCTTCCTCCCACTGCTCCCACCCCGCCGTCGTTCAGTCTCTCTTCCTCAGCGAACCCGTGATGCGTTCTTCGGAGTAAGAAATAATGTCTTGTTTTTGACATCCTACTATCTACAATATTTATTAATTGGTGAAAATAGCGAAATGAAGCCTGGAGCTACAAAAGGTACGTCCGGCGACGATTTTTTGGCGGCAGTCCAGATATAACGATTACCGGTTATAACGATCATATTTTTAGGTTTTCTCGATATCGTTATAAGTGGACTGCACTGTATTGAAAGATAACTGCAAAAAAAAAAGTATACCTCAGAACCAGCGTCTAAATTTCAGTCATTGTGTAAATCCTTGTTAGAAATTACGTACCCCTGTAGATGGTTTTACGCAGCGATGTACGGGGGCTGCCATGTTCAATCATGTGACTGTAACTGACTTTCTCCCAGCCAGTTGCCCAAGCCCCACGCAACGCATTGGGCCCGCAAAGCAGCTGTGGCTGTAAGACAGCACCTAAATGCCATTGGGGTTAGAAACCAACATGGTAGTACCCATGTAGACGCGACCGCCCACTTCGATATAAACTTGCGCGTGCTACTCGCTAACTGTCTTCACTGTAAATAAATGTTTAAATCAGCTATCGCTTCGAGTAATCTCATGCAGGGGCCAAAGCATCATTTGTATTCTGGCTTTATTGCTGAGATCAGCAGTGTTTATTCAGCCTCACCTGCTAATCCTTGTCTCCGACGATTTGAGAATTAATCTTGAAAGCATTGCAAAACACTGATGACTACATTGTTCTCGAAGCTTTAAAACATAAATAAAAAGCCAATAAATACATTGGTCGCAAACTTACGCAGCACGAAGACGTGATAAGTTCGTGGGGGAAGGAAACACAGGTGCAGTCATGTAGACTTTCCCGGCACTGCCGTCTGCTCGCTTTTACTCTCGTACGCAGACGACGCAATGAGCAGCGATGCCATAAGTCACGGTAGAGAGATGGCCACGGTGTGGTTGTGTCATCTAGTTTGTATTAAACAAACCAGCTGGGGAAAATCGTCTATACAGATATGGGAAAGGTCTTTCAGATGGCATCATTAGACGAAACTTTGTTCCAACCTCCCTCTCACCCCTTCCCACTTCGGACCTCTTCACAGTCACTGTGCCGGTTCCTTGAGGGACTACATTTCATGACTGCGGCCCGGTAGGTGGTGTGGGTTTGAGACCCCACTTGTGGGAGACTGCTTTAGAAACTGACCATCTGGTGTTCTTTAATGTGCACCTGAATCTGAGTACATGGGCTTCATCAAAATGCAAACATTGCAGTCAGAATCCAGTGACTTTTGGGTCAACAATCGAGCACCGTAATTCACTAGACCACCGTGGCGGGGGATCAATCAGAAGCACGGCTGGCAACTAACTATTTGTACCATAAAAATGGACTACACAGTGAGCAAAAGTTGCATGAAAGGCAGTTTTATGCAAAGTGTGTGAGGTATCCTAAGAATTCTGATCCCATGAAACCACTGCCAAAGCAAGCATAGTGTGTCCATCTTTGTGGGCTTGGTTTGTTTGGCAGGTTTTGGTGGTTCGTGAAGACGAGTTCAGCAACCGGCTAAGCAACCGGGCTTCGTTCCGCGGATGCACAGCTCTGCATTATGCAGTCCTGACTGATGACACGAAGCTCGTGAAGACCCTGCTGGAGAAAGGTGCCGACCCAACGCTGGCCAACGACCAGAACCATTTGCCGGCTGACTACAGCCGCAACCCGGTCATGCGCAAGCTGCTCAAAGAATACACAGACGAGCACAACAAAAAGCGCAAGCAAAGGGAGGCTGAGGAACGACGGCGCTTTCCTCTTGAGCAACGAGTCAAGCAGGTCAGGTCTTGCAAACATATTTTTCTTCGAGTCAAGTGAAAAATTAAGTCATGTCAGGACCAATATTGTTTGCCACCGTGCCTTCTGGTCTTCTTTGTCTTGTGCTTTCGTCTTTTGCACTATGAACATGTACTTTTACATTCCTCTGGAGTGTAGGCTTCACAATTATGGTACACAATGAAATATGGCAAGAAATAGAGATTAGCCCGAATCGCACAGTAATACCAGATGTAATACCAGTAGTACCGTAATACCAGATGCTTTTTCCAAATTTGTTGGCTGGTTTGTGAGAAGTTCCAAAGTGATTCAGGCTATGAAAGACTCCATATTGGAGAGCTCCAGATGATTGAGACTGCGTGTTGTTCTTTTAAAAGTTCAGTCAAATCACGCAGTGCGTGGGCGTCTAGCATTTTGCTTCATTAATATGTGACAACTGCAGCCTCTATCGAACCCACATCTTTTCAACTTCTGAACATTCAAAATACCGACACAACTTTGTATAAATCCAGTGATGTCCCATCTGATAATTCTCTTTGCTGGAGTGTGGTTGGTGCATTGCATAAAGAAAATATATCCAGCCAAAAAATGGCATGTGAAATGCTTAAATCATTTCACATTGCAAATAATGGCGAGGCATTAGTGACAGCTCTGTAACATGGCTCAGGGGTGAAAAATGTTTCCTGCAGAATTTTCTATAATTATTATAGAATAATAATGCAAAGATTACCTACAGTGATTGTACATTAGTTCATTGTATTTTGCACTTTTGTAAATAAATTGTAACATCGTGTCAGTGCATATGCTGGAGCCACGTGATCGTAAATAAACAGTTGGTAGTCTAGCCACATTCCTGTCTTCTCCGTTTCTTGTGTTCGTTTATTTCTTGGCTGGGTAGATTTTTTTGATGCAATGTCACATTGTTTGTTCCTTTCCATGCGTGCAGGTAATCGTGGGCCAAGAAGGTGCCATCGCTCTGGTTGCAGCTACCATCCGGCGCAAGGAACTCGGATGGTTTGATGACGAACACCCACTCGTTTTTCTCTTCCTTGGCTCATCGGGTATTGGCAAAACGGAGCTGGCAAAGCAGATGGCGGAGTACTTGCACGGGGGAAGCACGGGCCGCTCGTCGTCTGGAGGAAAGGGCTTCATTCGATTGGACATGTCCGAGTACCAAGAGAAGCATGAAGTGGCCAAGCTCATTGGCTCACCGCCCGGCTATGTTGGCCACGACGATGGAGGGCAGCTCACGCAGCGTTTGCGTGAATGCCCCAACGCTGTTGTGCTGCTCGACGAGGTGTAGTACCTTGCTGTGTAGTGTGTATTGGCATCTGCATTTATTTCTGGGAAAGTGTGATTTCAAGCTTAGAGGATTCGTACTTGTCACTACAAATGATTTCTAGAAGCATTTTCAAAGAAAATTCAAGATGTTGGTACTTTGTATAATAGTATGGGAAGTTCTGGAGACTGAGGGAATACATGCTGAATGGAATCGCTGCACTCTCCAACAGTTTCACGACTAACTTTTGGAGCGTGTAATAGGCACACGCATCCTTTCCTGCTTTCCTTGCCTGCTTCTTCCCTTGCTTCATCGCACTTGTACCGAAACGTGCGAGAAAGCGCAGGGTGCCAATCACATGCAATCGACATAAAAGTGCCAAGAGATGACACTGTGAGGGTAAGGACTTCATTTGTACAAACGAGGCATTTTCACTCTGATGCTGTCGGTCCGGTGTTTTCATGGTGACTGCAGATGTGACACCTTGTGCATCATCAGATATTGTGGTGGTTATGCATTTGAAGGAAATGATTAAGGTAGCAAAGGACGCGCATGTGCAGTATGCACTCTGGAAACGAGGGATGACATTGTTAAAAGGCACTGTGATGCAGTTTGGCACATGCTACCATGGTTTCGAAATTTTGCTTTTGACATTTAATGAAGAGCACACCAAAACCAACTTGATTTAGGTATTCATTTGCTATTTGTGTCACATCGCTCACATTAGTACTAGGGTACAAGTGCCCAGCACAGAATTGACTTTTTTTGCTCAGGTGGACAAGGCACACCCAGATGTGCTGACCGTGTTGCTACAGCTGTTTGACGAAGGCCGACTCACCGATGGCAAGGGCAGGACCGTTGTCTGCAAGGATGCCATCTTCGTCATGACTTCCAACTTGGCCAGCGAAGAGATAGCTCAACATGCTACCGACCTCCGCAGGGATGCTGAACTGCTTGCCCTGCAGCGCCAGAGTCTGCAGCCGAGCAGCGTCGCGGAGGAAGTCAATATCCGCAGTGATTTCAAGGAACGGGTGGTGCGACCCATTTTGAAACGCCACTTCCGCCGCGACGAGTTCCTTGGCCGGATCAATGAGATCGTCTACTTCCTGCCCTTCTCACGGAAGGAACTGACAGTGCTGGTGACGCGGGAGCTCGAGGGCTGGACCCGGCGGGCAAAGGACAAGCACGGCATCGAGCTTACTTGGGAGCGGCGTGTCGTCGAACTTTTGGCAGACGGGTACAACGTTCACTATGGCGCACGTTCAGTCAAACACGAGGTTGAAAGGCAAGTTGTGAACCGGCTTGCAGAGGCCCATGAGAAACAGTTGCTCGACTCCGGCTGTGCAGTTCACCTAGTGGTCGAGGATAGTGACGACGGAGGTCCGGCGAGGATCGCGCTACTGGTGCGACCAAAGTCACACCGAAACATGGAGCTAGACCTTCCTCTGAGTAACACTGCACCTCTCGGAGGCAGCTGAACTTTGACTGTTGTGACAGGTCGCATGAATGAGAGACATCCGAATCATAGTGAAAAAATCGTCTTGTAAATGAACGAAAATTACCCGTGGCAGCTTTGGCTGTGCAGCAGCTATTCACCAAAAGTTTAATATTGTTGGCCAGCTTGTTTGTTTTCAGTAAATAGATTAAAAAATAGACATTACTCGTGTTTTCCTTTCATCATTCATTTAAATAAAATGAATATAGTTGCTACTTTGGGCAGTAAAACCAGAAAATGATGTCAATAGCTATCCATGAGCTGACCTACATATAGACATGGATCTTCATGAAGGGGGGGCCAAGAATCACCACTGTGCTCGCCCCCCACTCGTTAAACGTGTTTGAAAGAAACAGAGTCTTCTGTGGACAGAAGAATGAAATGAAGCAATAACGTGCTTTCCTTAATGGCCTGCCATGAGTCTCCGGCTTTTTCGTGGTAAAAGTGGGCAGGTAAACAGCTCTTTCAGTGCAACATTGATGTTGCTAGGCTGCACATACTGTAAAAAATTTATGCAGTCGCAGTTAACGTGAAAGTTGTAGGTAGCACGGAGCAATCATTCGCCGGTCCTGCAGCAACAAACTCGAGGAGCTTATGTTGGGGGGCTAGTTGGCAAGACATTGTTTTGTGAACTCAAAGTACGCTTGGTATGCGACACTAGAGTATACGTTGACAGAACAAATGCAGCCTATCAGCGCTTTTGGCGCTCTCGTTCATGGGCAAACATGCCCATGAACTGTGCTGCCTGTAAGGCCTCCATGGTGGGAACTAAACCATGTGCAATGCAGTGGAACCCTCTCCTCCCCCTCGTCTTTTTAACGTCACTCCTACTCACCCTCACTTTCACGTCTACACTATACTATACACGGCTGTGCTATGCTTCCACCCCCTTTATGCTATGCATGGTTCTGCCTGTCTAATGCCATACATGACTACGCTCTGTTTTACCCTCTCCCTTCCTGCTGTGCATCTTCACGCTCAGTTAGAAACTCCCTTGCTATACATGGCTACATTATACATAAATTTGCCTGCATAATGCCACTCATGCCTATGTTATGCTTCACTTTATGTTGTCCTTATTTTCTTTGTCCTCACATCACTGCTCAATCTGACTTCTCTTTCCTCTCCACTTGCGATATACGGCTATTCTTTACATGGTTTTGCCCGCCAAACACTTCACGGGGTAATATTACCTTTCACTTTGTGGAAAACGACGAAGAGCGCCTGTTGCTCAGGCAACTGAGGCTTTCCGTTTTGTCTTTTTTGGACTGAGCTATATTATTCGAGCGCGCCTTATATCTTTCACACATTCTTTTTCGCTCCGTGCTCTCTGTTGGCGAAGCGGGGCGGTGCCGCCACAGAGAAGAAGCTTGGCGTCCGAGATTTTTGCGCGCTGGTGTGCAGCTTGTAGGCCATGGTTAAAACTTCTCCATTACTGAATACCTTGACCGAGCAAGCATCGGAGAGTTGCTGATTGATTGATTTGTGGAGTTTAACGTTCCAAAGCCACTATATGATTATGAGAGGCGCCGTAGTGGAGGGCTCCGGAAATTTCGACCACCTGGGGTTCTTTAACGTGCACCCAAATCTGAGCACACGGGCCTACAACATTTCCGCCTCCAGCGAAAATGCAGCCGCCGCAGCCGGGATTTGAACCCGCGACCTGCGGGTCAGCAGCCGAGTACCTTAGCCACTAGACCACCGCGGCGGGGCTCGGAGAGTTGCTGGCGCAGTTATGGTTTTAGCCTTCAGCTTCGTGTTAGCGCGCGACAGTTCGTCGTGCGGCTTTCAGCCACACCAACGATGTTTCCCCGCCGACTACTTCGAGTGTAATCGCACCTGCTTATTAAAGAAAAATCACAATATATCCACCGTGTGGATGATGATGAATGGGGCGAAGCGACCGTCCGTCGGCCCGTATTTCCGTCCATGCTTCCGTCTGTCTGTCCGTTCACGCGTCCCCTCCTAGTCAAACTAGAGCACATATAGGACGGACGGATGCTTCACCCCACTCATCATCATTCACTCCGTGGTTATGCTGGCTACACAGGATGGCAGGACGACCGATTAGGTGATGCTATAAGGAGATTCGCCCCTAATAAAACTGCTGCAGTAAGCACTGCAGTGAAGCAAGGATGTCTACGGGCGAATATTGTGCCTTGATGGAGCGAAACTGAGGCCAGCAGGACGTGGAACGCCTGCGCGCATTCGCGGCCCAAGCAGGAAACCTCTGCGTCTTGCGTTGCTGAAGCGCGAGCGTTGATGTAGGTTTCAGGAGTGCACACCGTACTGTTCTCTTCTTAAATGACAATATTTTGAAGACGTGCATATCGAGTATCAGTTGTGTCAATTTTTTGTGTGCTTATATGTCACATTTAGGCGTGATTAACGATACGCTGTGTTCAGCTATATGTTAAAAAAATCACAGCATATCCACAGAGTGCATGATGATGAGTGGGACGAGGCGTCTGTCCGTCCGTCTGTGCGACCACCCACGCGTTCATACATGCGTCCGGCCATCTGTGCGTCCATTCATGCGTCCGTCCTGCGTTCGTCCGTGCATCTGTCTGTGTCCGTCCGTCCATCTAGTGAACACTCCAAGTATGCACCATCTCGCACCTTTTCATTATCTATTCAACATATAAGAGTCCCGCCGTCCAGCGTACATTTCAAGGACTGAACGAGAGGTGGCACTCGCTCACTTTCTTGCGGCCTGAGCTTCGTGTCTAGTTCCCACCTTTCACCGCCTCTAGTTCATGGCTAAATACTGGTTAAGGGGAGACGCTCCTCGAAAAAGTTTTTTTTTTTATTTCTAGTAATAGAGACTTGAAAAGTTTGTTATTAGTATAGTTTTTCATGCAGATTTCAAATATGCAATCATTTTTTGTGTAGCTGCTATAATTATTGAGTTATGCCATAAACAATAGCAAAAAGTTACATTTTTTGTGGGCACTCTTTTATGTACTAAACTTTCAGTAAAAGCACTGTGTCTGATCTTATTTGACTCTTGGTAGATTGAAAAGTGCAATATCTATATAGATATGTCACAGAAATATTGGAACCAAGAAAAAAAAATTGTATTGAATGACTTATTATTTTCAATCTCCCTTGAAACAATAAGCTAATATTTTCACAACTAATGCTGGTAGGCATTGCAATTTAGAGTAGATATTTGCATTCTGCATGTGTTGAAGAATATGTGTGCCAAGTTTCGTTACTATACAATGAATATAAGTTTCTAAAAGGCTGCCCGGAAAACGTGAAACTGTCAGAAAAAATGAAAATGAGAAAAGCAAGTTTGAAAGTTCGCAAAGTTGGCATTTATTAGGAAATCATTCTTTTTGCATCAAATTGGGGCACAATGAAAAGTACCTTGCCTTGAATACACTGCAAGTGTCTAGAAGTCCCCTGCACCATAGCTTGGTCCTTCACGGCTCTTGCGGTCAGTGTCCTCAACACGAGCTCTCTTCGCTGTGTTGCAACGGTGTGCCCTCGCTTCTGCAGTTTGCTTCAGGTTCATCTTCCTGATGCGCATGACGTCACAGTGGTCACCATGTGTGGCCAGATCTTGTGAGGGGAGAATTCCAATGCCTTCGAGCACTTCTTCAAAGCCCCTGTGGCCTTTGTTGTACCAGAGTACAGCAAGAGCGGTGGCTGTCTCCACAGTTGTTCTGGAGGCGAACTTTGTTTTTGAACATAGCAGCCATATCTTGCTGTTCAGCGATTCGGCTGCATTCTGTGTCTTGCCATGAAGGCACCGAATAAGGAGTTTCTCCTCTGTAAGCCGCTTGTAGATAGGCATAATTGCCAATCCTTGAGCCTTCGTCAACAGTGGGGTGTGGCGTGGTGCAGGCTCCCCCAGTGCTTCCGCACGCTTGTGCTTGCACCACGAATTTGGTCCCGCGGGGCAAAAGTTGTGGCTACTGGCACCATCACTGGAGCAGCAATGAAAATACGATGCCCATATGGCAGTGTACATATTTCGGACACTGTCCTTGTTGCTCGTGATGGCGATCTTGTAATATGTTTGTAGTTTTATTATTGTCGCATCTTTCAGTTTTTCGCCTCGTGGCAGTAGCGTTGCCAATTTCCGTAGAGCAGTTCCCAAGCGCTTTGCAACGTGGTTCGTGCACTCTTCTTTGTCAATGGGGGTGTCACAGTATACATTTGCCTCGCAGACTGCAGTGTAGGCCTTGCTGTCACCATCACTTAGGAAGCTGGTGAATCGCAGTGGAGTTTCATAAGACAAGGTCCTCTGCCATATATTGACAGCTGCCGCAGGTTCCATTGCATGGGATGAGCAGTCAGTGTTTTTTTGGCAAACTGGAAGATGAAAAGCTCGCCATATCTCTTCATCCTCCCCAAGGTCCCTGTGTATACTGCAAGCATGGCAGTAGTTCGAAAGAACTTCAAAATCGAGGCAGAGCCCCGTGTCCAGGGACACGACTGTGCCCACTCTATTGTGGCTTTTATGACCTCTTTTCTGCCAGGTGCCATCAAACATGACTGGCACATCTCTGCCGCCGACTGCGTCCTTCGTGATGTTTCGTGCCTGGTGCAAGTTTTTGCTCACTGCCGTCATCGCCGCACCATGGAGCTTCTTGCAAATGCCGTTGAATGTCTTGTGATGCATCGGGCTCGGAAGACCGAGAATCGCACAGAATCCTGAAAGTTGGTCGTGGCCTGCGCCTATAGCGCGTGCTGCCAGAACTGCCTTCACGTTTACAGCAAAGCTGTCACGCGAGCTGCCGCTGTCAAAACGAGCGCTCGTTCCTTGGTCCCCGGCCGAAGCAGTACGTCTCGACGTGTGCGTGAACGAAAGTGCAGATTCAGGGCAATCAGAATTTTGACAGCACAGTTCGAGGAATGCCGAAAGTCCTTTGCGCTTTCCAGCTGCCTCTCGCACGCCGAGCTTCCGTTCGCGGCAGGTTGGGCATTGCGCACCCGCCACAAGTGCCGTCAGCGCATCGATTTCGCAAAGCAGCATGTTCGCAGTAGCAGCATCTACCGGTCTACGTTCACTCTCGAAGAATCCAATCTTCCTTTGGGATGCACTGACGAATTCCACGGCAGCGGCTATTTCACAACCACTGTCGCAGGGTTCGGTGACGGTGTTAGGCCTATCCGAAGTCGGAGCGTCAAGGCGTTGGTCGGGGGCGACATCGTCGTTCGCTGTCGCTTTGCGAAGCGTCCGACGCCGTTTCCCTCGATACTTGTGGCGAGTTCTGAACTTTCGATTATCTGAACTGCACTTCTTCGGGCTTGCCATGACGCAAAAATGCAGAGAAACGCAGAAAAACTCGATCGCGGCGTCCGAGGCTTCGCTCTTTTGCCGGAGAGATAGGAGGGGGAGGAGCGTGGAGCGCACCGCCGTCCAATGGTGGCCTGCCGCTGTGTGCCGCGATATTCAAAACGCGTGACGTACGCGTTGTTTTTCTCGTTTTTTATTTATTCTGCGTGAAGGCACGAGACTGGCTACCAGTGGATTATGAAGGATATGGCCTTCGCAGCATGCGTGCATGATTGCAAACGGCGGCCAACGCGTCGTTTTCGCGACAGGACGACGCGAACTTCGCCGTTTTTCGCGACTTTCGCGCATTTCTCGCGTCACCGCTGCCCACTTGGAAGCATTTTTTGATAATTTCTCGTGCGAATTTCAGCTTGATATTTTCAGAAGTAATAGATTATAGTCCAAGGATGCCAATACAGCCGGAAAAAGAAAGCGAAAATTTTTCGGAAAACCGCGACTTTTCGACCCGCGTCTCCCCTTAACCCTATTCATGGCACTGCAGCCCAACCCTCGCTAAACCTTGCTAAAACCAAGGAGGTTACGCCCAGCGAGTTTAACGTGGCAGCCCTTTCTGGTCAGATAGTGCTCAAAGTGCGTCCTTCTGATACTAGTTTTTTTTTGGGGAAGGGGGGGGGATAAGCATCAAATTCATGACAAATTTTATTGGAATTAAGTCACCAATACTCGTCTCTGTAAGTTATTTCATTAGAAACAATTATCCTTTTATTTATGATTAACGTGCGCTGGTTTCCTCCTAAATTGAAAAGGGTGCGCGTGTGTCGCTCCTCTAGTCCGGCCGTGGAGGTGGCTACCTACTACTACAACTACTACATACATCGTGGACGCACAAGTCACGGCATAGCGAGCTTCGCCCCCAAAACTTCTGTTACAACAGTGAAATCATGATCACACGGGCGCCCCGCCGCGGTGGTCTAGTGACTAAGGTACTCGGCTGCTGACCCGCAGGTCGCGGGTTCGAATCCCGGCTGCATTTCCGATGGAGGCGCGCAAATGTTGTAGGCCCGTGTGCTCAGATTTGGGTGCACGTTAAAGAACCCCAGGTGGTCGAAATTTCCGGAGCCCTCCAGTACGGCGTCTCTCATAATCATATGGTGGTTTTGGGACGTTAAACCCACATATCTATCAATGATCATATGGGCCATGTGTGACTGCGCTTTTACCCTCTCCTTCCTCCATTCCATCCTCCTCAGCTTTGCTTCCCTTTGCTGCATTTTTCTCCATACATGGCTATGCTACAGGTATTACTTGCGTGAGGCCGAGCGGCGATCTAAGACATGACAGCATGCAATGACAGCATATTCCCATCCCATGCTCCTTTTCCTCCTCACCCATATCTCTCCTTTTCAGCCTCGCTTCCTTTTCGGCCCCTAACCATACATGGCTATGCAATAGGTTTTGCTTGCGTGACGCCTAGCGCCGATCTAAGATATGACAGCATACGATGGCAGCATATTCCCTTCCCACCCTCCTTTTTCTCCTCACCTACATCTTTCCTTATCAGCCTTGATCGCTTCTCTTTCCTGCCCCCTAGCCATATATATGCTACACGCGGTTTTGTCTACGTTGCGCCTAGCGATATGGGGCGACATTATACGATGACAACACATACGATAGCTCTTAAAATTTGCGTGGCCGCAAGATTTAGGTGTGACGTGTGAGGCCCGACAATGTAAAAATGTGGTGCTGCATCGGCGCTCCATGTAAGATAACTGGCGGGGGGGGGGGGGGGGGGGGTTCCCTTGTGCACATGCCTATGGCGAGCAGCATGCCACAAACTACCACCTTGCCAAGCGAGACCAACACTGTATTTATCTTACAAGCCCGTGGCTGTGAAGCAAAAGCATGATCATTTACCATATTCACACACACACACAAAACAATGGTGGCCCAACTGTACCTTTTGCACCGTTTTGCTACAATCTTAGTACTTGTCCTGTGCCTATACAATTACAACTTGCGCACAAAGTGCACAATTTTCACCTACTTGAATGAGGTCCAGAATTTTCTGGACCGAGCTTTCTTCGACCGGTGGCAAACTCCACGGCAGCTTTTCCATGTTGGTTGGTTGGTTCAACTTGATTGTTCCTAAAGGGACACTAAAGGCAAGTATCAAGTCGACGTTGGCTGTTAAAATAGTGGTCAGAAACATCGTGGTATTACTTTTGTGCCAAGTAAGTGCTTATTTTGAAATAAAATAACGTTTTGGTGGTCTGCATCAGGTTAGTGCACTTCACATTACCCGCCTCAAGCAGAACGTCTTGCGTGTGCACAACGTTCGCCCGACTTACTGCGCGGCTGCAGCAGAACGAAGGCAGGGGGCAGCGGGGGCCGCACAGCAACAACAGCCATCAAACAATTTCTTGCCATTGGCTCTGAGATGACAGACGTGCTAGTTTCAACTAGCTTTCAGAGTAAAATTTATCTTAACCAATTCATTGTTTGACAATAGCGACGCTTTAGAGAGCCCCGGGTGGTGTGAAAATAAATCACTGGTTTCCACCATGACGTGCCTCATGATCGTATCAGGGTTTTGACGCGTAGAACGCCTCCAGGTATTAAAACTAGTGCCTCTAATTTGCCCACATGACTTACACAAGCCCGCACAGACTTGGCGACTTAATGCGTGCAATCAATAAAACGCCGCGGCAAAAGGCGACCGGGCGCAATCGAAGCGTGGGTTGTCGGAACCGCCGTCCCGTTTAGTCGATGCCACACAGTCACGCAAGCACAAAATAAAAGAATATAATCACTTTTATTCTTCAGTTTCTTGGAATGGGAGTCAATGTATTGCGATGGGATCGTCTCGAAAAAGGAATCTTCTTCGGAACCAACTGTGCTGTTGCTTCAAGAAAAAAAAAAGTAACAATAGAACTGAGAGGGCGCATCTCCTTCGAAGTGGGTCTCCTTAGCCGGCTCCACGCAGTGTCCTCATAGTAACGATCGCGAAATAAATGCTGGCCGTGTGGATGAGTATCCTCTCTTTCCGAGGAGCGGCACGTTTTGTTGTATGGATTCAGACGAGCCGGCGCGCCAGTTGGCACGCAGCCAAGTCAAGCCCCCACTGCCGGCCAAGCTGTCCACAGCACGGCGCCGCCCTCAAAAAACGGCGAGAAAAAAAGGCCGCTGATGAAAGAACCTTCTCGAGCCGGGTAAACAAATGGGAGACCGTTCATATACAATCGCCGAGAAACGCTTCCAGTGCACCGCCATCCTCCCCTCCACTTGACCGTCAAGAAAGGAACGGTGAAAATGAGTTTACTAAGGCGCCATGAGGATATCGGTGACTGACGCTCGCATCTGCTGCCCGCTGCTGAAGGCGGAGCAGTTGGTGGTGGCGATATTAATGTTACAGGGCGGGAGTGAAGGCTAGGATAGAGAAAGAGAGATGCCTTGAGCTGAGAAAGACGTTTGCACGCGGAGATCTGTGGACATCGTGCAGTCGAAGCGCGCGGGCATGCAGTGCACTCTACACATATTCAAGACACGCGTGCAACAGGCATTTCTACTACACGACACTTTTTTTTTGCTTTCGTATTCAAGCGAAAAAATAATATGTTTCTACGTATATGGTGCGCCTTCCGCACAGTTTGGGAGAGACCAAGTTTCAGGCAGTTGGTGTAGATTAATCTAGCCACGGCGAAGTTGCTCGTAGTACATGCCGCATTGGCAAACAAGAAAAAAAAAAGAACAAAAGAAACATTTTTCTCTGATTCAAGATGCGAAACTTGCGGTAACGCCCGTCCAGCGGCTGCCTAGCTAACGCTGTCCTGCACTTCCTGAAAGGAATGGTTTACAACCACAGAGTTTCGTGTATACTCTATACTTTCGCACATCTCTCCGTGTGACATCACGATTTGTACAGTACGATAACTCTAGAGAGATCACTGTCGGAGCAGAAAGTGACGACTGTAAATTAAACGTAATGTTCTAGTCGCTGGGTGCCAGATACTTTCCAGCCGCGGTAGCCTCCTCCATTACTCTAATACGAGATATTTTACATACACCTGGAATGCGCAGCTGCATGACATATTGTCTTCGTCGATCTACTGCGCCTGCAAGCGTAACCTAACTACTATCGCATCGAGTGATTGACGGCTTGAAGTGCGGTTTCTCCGAAATACGTGGAGCTTCGTACGTCCGGCTGACTGAACGACCGAGTTCAACGTTGCACAACGCGCGAATAGTGGCGGCGCTACAGCTTTTCACGATGTGCGCAGTCATTCACAAAATGGCAATAATAACGAGCGTGACCGAGAACGGCATGATCCCGCGCTTCCCTTAACGCTGTCTCAATGGCAACAAAAATAAAAGAGTGTAGCTATGAAGGATAGTGCACACACTCATGCCACATCTTAATATACGTCCTAAGCGGCACCGGTCAAGGTGTCACATTCTTGATCACCTGCCAGGGAACACTGTTGAATTACGAGTTACGGTACAATGGAAAAATTTCTAAACAAGGGTTATGTGCTTGAGCAGGTGTTTCGAAAAGTAAACCTGCCTTCGTCAAGGCTAGAACTAGTCTTGAAGACGACTAATTTTAGCTTAGTTCTAGTCTAGGCTAGACTTCGAGGCTAGAAGACAAGTCCACTTGTCGCAACGTCGGCTTGAGCATAGAACCTCTGTTTACATATCTTTCCATCGCAAGCGTACATCCTCTCCTTTCTACAGTTTTTTTTTTAGTTACGGTACGAGTACCACGTAATTTAGTTAACGTCGCAAGGATTCACCGATCTTCTCGACAGGCGAATTCCATGTTTCACTAACGAAATTTTATTCCTCTGCCTACTTCGAACATAGTTAATTTTAATAGGTTTCTCCAAACATGCGCTGCTACGTGTTGCACCTTTACACAGCCGAAGATACGCGCTCTTCATGAATGGAATGAAATTGATGCGACGTCCATTCGACGTTTCTTTGCGCTGTGTCACATGGACAGAAACTCAAGATACCTCGACCGCATACGCAAAACGAACCGGGACACATACGTAACAGCGCGCCACTGAAGATGTGCAGAAGGACGGAAGGAACTTTAGTTTTTGAGTGTCAAGTGGCAGGAAACATAGCGGCGGAAAATTTTGCGCAGACAAAAGTGGCTGCGCTGTACACAAAAAGAGCAAGACGAGCATGTCTTAAGCCTTTGAGCTTGACCCCGTAGATTAGCGGGATGCGGCCAAGCATCTATGAAATGCTCGTGCTAGCATTCACAAAGCCGCGCTTACAAAAAGCGATGAGAGCTTTTTACGTCGAAGCCAGCGCGATGCCGGCGTACACGTAGAGTGAAAAAGAATTGTTGACCCTGTGCGCGAATCTTGTTCCCGTCAGTCTGTAGCATTCATTCCCTAAAATGAGTCGGCCTTCGAAAATTGAATTTCATAGCACCTTTCGCAGCAGGACCCCGACGGATAAAAATGAGACGTGTTAGGTCACGTTAAGCCGAGGATAGTCAATCGTGCACCGCAGGAGAACACATCAGGAATACGCGGAGGAAGATCACGTGATGCGAGGAGATTCCGCGACTACGTTCTTCATGCACCAATTATTTTTTGAAATTTCAAAGCTGCAAGTGTAGATCGATCATACGTCAGCACGTTAGCTCGCCCTGTCAGCGTTTCATAGCGTTTCTATGCTCGTCTCGGGTGCGGCGCGATTTTGTCTCCGCGTAGGCGGCGTCCTGAAGCCGTGCCGCCACTGTGCAGACCGACCAACGAATTTCAATGCATAGACGTTGCGGATGGCTCACAACCGGTAGCTATTTCTTCTATACACTTGCATACAACACTCGCGAACACATGCTCAAAAAGTTGCATCGCACCGGAAAAAACGGGCTTGTGACAAACACGCTGTGAGTAGCCGGTAAGCGTGAAAGGCGCGGTTTTCAAACTCGCAAGCGCCACCGATATTGTACTTACGAATGAAAAAAAAAAAAAAAACGCGGCAGTAGAGAACAACCCAGCGTAACGTAATCTTTAACGGTATCCATAGTCACCCGATCGGACAGCTCATGAGGCTGCAAACATTTAAATACGGCATTGCAGCGAAAAATGGTTAACGTATCCGCACACTATGTGCAACTGTATTCGCCAACGTGATCGTATAGCAAGATGGCCGTCGTCGGTCCGCCTGTGCCGAGTCCTTTGCTAGGCAGCGACCGAGGCACGGTCCGAGACACTCAAAATCAACTCGGGCAGTCAGTGGCACGTGGCGTATTAGGCTTAATGAAGATTGCCATTTGTGGTGTCGCTAACGGTGCAATTGAGCTACGTCAAATAGAAAAAAAAACAAAGAAAAAGCACAACATGTCATTGCTGCCAGCAGCAATGTTTGAAGCCCTTCACTGGCGGCCGCTAATGCGAAAACAAGTCGTGTCCGTTCCCCTTTCGGAAGAAATCCATCGTTCTTCGTGGCACACACAAGAGAAATGGTTGCGGCGTGACACGAAGGCGTGAGTGAGCAGCGTCGTTATTCGCACCAAGAATGTGATCTGAGAGAAGTCTAGATGTGAATAGAAAACAACGAGACGTGGAAATGGCTTCTGTCCGATGAGGTATGTACATGAGCGAGAAGATGACGTCACACATATCATCGTCGGTGGCTGCTGCCGCTGGGGCAGCGGGTGTTGATGACGATGGGGGTCTCCTCCGGGCATCCCGGGCGCTCGCGTGGCGCCACCTGGGGCCTCGGTGGGGAGACCCGGAGGAGATGGAGACAGGTGGCGCTCCCCACCGAGGCCCCGAAGAAGGGTCAGGGCGCCCGCGACGGCGCCCGGGAAGCACCGTGAGATGCTGCTGTCTCCTTTACGGAACCTTCCACGCACTGGGCCACCCTGCGAAAGACAAAACAAGGAATGAGAAAGACGAAAAGTATCCACTGGTGCTCCAGCGGATGATCACGCAATAGGCAGACAATACGGAAGCGTCGTCTTTGCTTAAAAGTGACACTGAAGTGAAACAATAAGCATTTTGACCAATAACTCCAGTGTCGTTAATTTGACCACCATAGGTGTATTAATAGATTAGAAAAGCGACGTCAAGAGTTTCACGTTTAAAGGGGTGGTGCTATGAAATTTCAAGGCTACAACAAGCCTCACTCAGGTGGGTTTCCTTCGAATGCAAGGACACTACACATGAACAGTCGGACACAGCAAACGTTTAGAATATATTTTAATCAACTTCCGTGTACCTAAATGTTCATTCTCTTAATCTAGGTACATCGCAAGCGCGTCCAGCAGTTACATCACGCCAGATCTGTAGTGAGCATAGGCGTGCGCAGGCTTCTCCTACAGGGGGACGAAGGTTTATCGCACTGCCCTCTGCTTTATTATGCCAGTGTACGAAAATTTGTGCCACCCCCCCCCCCCTCCACGGAGTTACGGCGTCCTTTCCCTATTATGTCAATGTGCGGGGCTAACTTAGCAACCTTCTCTCTTTTTAGGTGACTACGGAAGCGCCATGTAGGGCGTTAACCTTTGTGCTTTGCATCTTTAACAACTAAACGAACAGTGTCACAGTAGACGCATGAAAGCGGTTTAGTTGGTGTATAATGTTCTTTATTGGCCTTATTAATTAACATCGCAACATACAAAGGCAACAAAACATCGAATTAACAGCCCACGGTGGCAGCGGCCATATGCCTTAGGTGAAATGGTCCATAGGTCAGCAATTGAAGCTCACTCATATTATCTATAGAGGTACGTTTTGCTCTGAGTTCTCACTCGGAGTCAGACTCTCCAAAATCTTCCCCACGCCGACTCAGTGGGGCTAAGACTGACGTATTGACCTCAGGCAGGGTGAGCATGAGTGAGTAGGCTCATCAATTCGTTAGCATAAGATTAGCTTCCTTCTATCTTGGTGTTAATGGTTTTTAAAGCGAATACCTCACGTATTTAGTCCGTATCACAATGACCCTCAATAGTTCCTGGCTTTGAGAAGGGGAAGGTCAGACTTCGTTTTGTAAAAAAATAAATCGGTCTTGAGATTTCTCAAGCTGATAGATTTTTTTTTGTCTTTCAGAAGACGGGACAGATCCAGCGAGTAAATGAATACGGGGTACTTTGCTGAACAAGGGTGTCTATACAGGATAGGTGCTTTGCTCCCTGTGCACGTTTGTTTAATACCGTGAAGCTGTCATCTCCGTCCATGACGTTTGTTATACACAGTTACTAAGAATGATTTTGGGCATGCACTTGATTCTGTAAAGAACATCCGTTCTCGCATTTAACATGATGACCAACCGATGCCTATTTCCTTGTATGCACGCAAAACCGAAACTAAGGTTTAAGAGGCCTCACGAGGGTTCTAAACGTATCTCAAGGTCTCAAAGTACACTCTAAGGACGTCTCCGTAGTCTCGCTATAACTAAAATGGTGTGTAGGCATACGTAAAATAAAGCAATGCATACAAAACCTCGTTACATGTACAGCGTTAAATCTTAATATGCTCCTCCACAACATAATATGCAAGCTTCGCCGTATAACGGAATGCCTTGCGGCAAAGCAAACCTTAAAAAAACAACAAAAAGTCAAGGTTTCGATTTCGCGCGTGACCAGCAAGCAGCGGCAGTGTAGGCTCGAAGCCGCACCTGGCTATGAGCGCGGCTCCCTTGCGGGGCTGCCATCCTCTTGCGCGGTGAGCAGGGGCGTCCTCTCAGCACGCACGGGCGAACACATCACGTCCACTGTATGCACACACAGTGCGCCCAGGCTGGGCGTGGTCGCGGTTCCCGTTGACGCCGTGGTCCGCTCCTCGGGCTTCTTCAGAATGGACTTGGCTGCTCCGCGGCTCGCCGTTGCCGCATGCTGCTCGGGCCGCATGCCGGGGTCTCCTGCGCCGCCGTACCTGCCCGACTGGCCACCGAACAGCGTCATCACTGCGCACGAAAAGTACGGGAGCTGGCGTACCTTCATTTGCCTTTATTAGCATCATTATTTTCATTAATCTTCAACTGCATAAACAATAGCAGAGGCCTCGGAGTTACCGTCGCCACACGAGTTCGCGGAAGAGACAGGCGGGGCACCTGGCTCTGACGCCAGCCACGGAGCCGACGCGACAAGGCGATAAAGGCCTGACCCCACATACGCGTTGCAGCGCGTCAGAGTGTCGGCGTGTAGACTTCGGTGTCACGCCTTCACCACGCGTGAGGGGAGTGGGCGAGCGCCAACACGAAGCTGCCCGCCCTCTTTTCCATAGAAAGAGGGTGCAGCGCCGAGTATACAGGCCACGCGCTGACAGCACAACAACGCGTGTGTGTGGTCAGGCCTTGACAGCGGGCGCGCGCGACGGAAGTGCTACTGAGCGTGAGGGAGGCGCAACGCACGTGCACTATGGAGTGATGCTAGCCCTTCCATTGGAATGACGCCTTAGTGTACAGTAATGAGCCGGACCCTGCGAGTCCGCGCATGCGCGCCACACATAACCAGCACTAAATAATAGGGTAATGCGTCTGTTATGTATGAACCACTAAACGATATATATATATATATATATATATATATATATATATATATATATATATATATATATATATATATATAAGTGATGCTCATCACCCATATTACTAGTGCAAACAAGAAACAAAACATACAGCAATGTTGACTGGCGGAAGCGTATGCGTGTGACCAGCTTTTCCCGTGCGCACACTGCAGCGGCGCTCCAGAGTTCTCCGGTGAAGGCCTTACCTTTGGAGAAAGGTGACGCCTTGTGTGTGGCCGAGGGCGCGAAGACGTGCGGCTCGGGCCGCGGCAGCTCGATGGTGTCCGGTCGAAGCGCCCGAGTGGCGTCCACGGGGTCGAAGCGGGCCTTGGTGCGCACGCCTTGGAGGAACCGTGGTCGGACCAGCTGCACTGGCTGCTGTAGGCTGGCCATCGGTTCTTGGCTCAGGTCCGCCTGCGAGGCGAACGGCTGCGTGGCGCAGGACAGGTACGTGTCCGAGCTCTCCACGCTGCCGACGTCCCAGCGGTTGATAGTCTTGAGCTCTATGTTGGCCCGGAAGTCGCCTTCGAGGAACTCCTTGAGCTCCTGCGAATCATCAAGTCACGCTCTCGCCGGCGCCCTCAGGCCGTAGCGGCACGAAGCCGGCCGGAGGAGAGAGAAGCACAGCGGATAGAAAAAGAGGGCCGAGGGGACGAGGAGGCCGAACCGGCCAGCAGCGAAGGGACGAGCGCCGGAGGCTGCTGGCGGCGGTTCGGCGACAGACAGACAAGCAGAGCGGCGGGCAGAGTTAGTGCGGCTGGTGGCCAAGTGGTTTGAGTGGTGCGTGCTTTGTTTTTGCGTGTGCGTTTTGTACGCTACCTGGCCCGGTATCCAAGCGGTAGAGATCCTAGCGCGGGGCACTACGCGCTCGAGCCACCTGCAAGGCAAGCCCGCAGCCCCCGGCGCTCGTCCCCGACGCCCCCGAGCCAAGACTCACGGGCGAGGCTGCCGCCAGCGTCTGGCCCGCCGCCTGCTGACGGCTGCCGCTGAGGGAGTTGAGCGGCTCCGGCACCAGCAAGGGGTCGGCCGCGCCCCGGGCTCCGCCTCCGGGTGGTCCCGAGCAGCCACCGCTGGCCGCCAGCGTATGCTCGTAGTTGCGGAAGCATCCAGCGTTCAGGCGGGACGCCGACTCTTCACCGAGGCTGATGGCGTCACCCTGCGCGGGGGTTCGGCGAGTGCGGAGAAGCTCGCCCGATTTACTCGCCGCGTTGGACGCTGTTCCGTGGTCGGCGTCATGGAGGCTGACCACGCGGGCTGGCCGCTGCTCACACTTGTAGAGATTCTTTTCACCACGACTACACTGTCCACGGTATTTTTCCATTGGTCAACATGCCTCGACACTGTTTCTAACGGCATCCTTAGGCATTATTTTCTGTTTTATTTAGTATCAAGTAGGAAGAGGCGCACGATAAGAATCTGCTGATAAATAATATGAGTTACTGCACACTCACTGTTTCATGCATGAACGCTGTGTAGTAATATAACTTGATTTCATTATATAAGCTTTTGGACAGTGCTGTTCGATGGAGCAGACTCTTGAACGCTTCTAAGCAATGCTGAGTAATTTAAAACGCGTCCCTGAATAGTCGTCATCGCACAAAAAAAAACTACGTAGCAAGATAAGAAAAGAAACGGCCACGTTAGGCCAAATCGTACCTGGGAAACACCATGAGCCGTATCCACAAGGACGTCGACCAAGTCCATACTCTTGGCGAAGGCGTCGCGCAGGTTGACGTGGTGGAAGGAGACGATGCTGCCTTCACGCCTGGCACGCTCCAGCGCCTCCTTGCGCTTGAGCGCTTTCTCCCGGCGCATCTGGTTCTTGTAGAACTCGGCGAAGTTGTTGACGATGATGGGGATGGGCAGCGCAATGACGAGCACGCCGCAGATACAGCAGACGCTACCGACAATCTTGCCCAGAGGCGTGGTCGGACAGATATCTCCGTAGCCGACAGTAGTCATGGTGATACTTGCCCACCAGAAAGTCTCCGGGATGCTGGTGAACTTGGTGTCGGCCACCTCCTTTTCAGCAAAGTAGGCTAGACTGGAGAAGATCATGATGCCGATCGCCAGGAACAGCATGAGCAAGCCGAGCTCCTTGTAGCTGTTGCGCAGCGTGAAGCCCAGGCTCTGCAACCCGGTCGAGTGGCGGGCCAACTTGAGGATTCGCAGGATGCGCATGATGCGAAAAATTTGCACCACACGACGCACGTCCTGGAACTGGTCCTGCTTCTTGCTGCTCGTCTCAGTGAGGAAGAGCGATATGAAGTACGGCAGGATGGCCAGCAGGTCGATGACGTTGAGCACGCCCTTGAAGAACTTCCACTTGTTGGGCGACGACAGGAACCGCAGCAGGTACTCGAGCGTGAACCAGGTGATGCAGACGGCCTCGACCAGCGCCAGCTTTGGGTTGTCCACCACCTCGCCCTTGAGGTCGCGCTCTTGCAGCTCGGGCAGCGTGTTGAGCGTCAGCGCAATCGTCGACAGGATGATGAAGAGGATCGACAGCACTGCCACCACCTGGGGGAACACACTCGCGTTTTCGCCGCCTCTTGGTTTTTCTCTGCCCCCGCCGCCCTGGCCGCAGCGCCAGTGGCGCCTGCTGCATCGGCGACGCGCGGCCTCTCGCGCTGCCCATCCCCAGCAGAGCATAAAGAGAGCGAGACAGATAGACAGAGAGAGCACCTGCTGCGCGCGCACCAAAGGAAAGAAAACAGGCAAGCAAACAAGGATAGCGGAACGGCAAACAAAGCAACAGCACAGAAAGACATACAGGCGCACTCTCACCCGGGCAGCCAGGGACGAGGTGGGCTTTTCGAGCAGGTCCCACAGGAACTTCTGCAGCTGGGCTCGCCGTCCTTCGCCGAAGTACTCTTCGTCCCGTTGCCTCAGGGACTCGGCCTCCTTGCGCATCTCCTCGTGGACGTGCTCCTTGCGTTGGTGGTAACGGTGCTGGCAGCAGGACTCCAGGTAGAGCTCATCAATGCCCCAGTACTCGAGGTCGTCGCTAAAGCCATCACGCACATCTCCTCGACCAAGTGCAGCTTTCCGGTGCGGAAGAAGTTGAGCACGGCGCCGAAAGAGCGCGGGTGCCGGTCGAAGAAGTACTCGTTGTCGGCGAGCGAGTAGTCGTCGCAGAGCTCGGCCAGCGCCTCGTGCGTGTTGCACTCGCGAAGGCGGCCGAGGCGAGTGTGCGGCAGCCGTTCGAGGGTGCGCCACAGCACCTCGTGGCGCACTCCTCCCACGTTGATGACCACGCGCCGGTTGAGGGCCTTGCTGCGCATGATCATGAACGGCTCCGGCGGCAGCGACGACAGCGACCGGGCACGCTGCATCGCGCGGCTCAGCAGGCGCCGCCGCCGCACGCCCGGCCGATCATCCGCCTGTGCGAAACAGGTGCGTCCAGGTTAGCACATTCAGTAGACACGCCACCGCCGCCACCACCACCATCATCGTCATTCTCAGCCTGCTTTTGTCCACTACAAAACGAATGCCTCTACCAATGATTTCCACTTCACCCTATCCTGTGCGAGCTGATTCCGCTTTATCTGTGCGAACTACTTCATCTAACTTTTTGCCTTCCCCGACTGCGCTTCCCATTCCTTGAGAATTATTGCGCTGCTCTTACCCCCGCGCCCCGCCACGGTGGTCTAGTGGCTAAGGTGAGCCGCATGGCGCGGGATCGAATCCTGGCTGCGGCGGCTACATTTATGATGGAGGCGAAAATGCTGTAGGGGTGAGTGCTCAGATTTGTGTGCACGTTAAAAAAACCCAGGTGGTCTAAATTTGCGAAGCCCTCCACTACGGCATCTCTCATAATCCCCCCGTATTGAGAAACGCTCCTTGACTTGAAATCGACTTGCCATCAACTTCAATGCAGCGCGTTCCAAACACGTTTGTGCATTTGTGCTGCCTTGGCACCACTCAAAGCAGCGCGTTCAAAACGCGTTTGTTTTGTAGTGAAGGTGGTTACCAGTCAAGGTCAAGTCAAGGAGCGTTTCTGGATGAAAGGGTTACTATCCACCGGCCGTTTGTTCCACGCATAACGTGGCCAGCAAAGCTCCATTTTCACTTTAATGACAGGGGTAGATATGGATACAAAACAAGGTTCTATATTTGTCCTAATATGTCAAGAGACACGCTTCTTTACATCAGAAGAATGCAGGTTTATGTCTTGTTTTCATGTATAACGAAGGCAAGCAAGAGGTGATCCGCGGGTCGATCAGACCTGTCTTTTCAGTAATGAGAGAACTTATCATCATCTTTGCCAAGATCAACTCACTCGAGGAAGGTTTGCACGGCAGGACCTTGCAACACTATGGCTGATCACCAATACTGGTGAAAGCCACGCAGCGTTGTGTGTGGCACAGTGTGTGATTCATCTTGGTGAAACAATGTTATAGAAGGTCAAAAGAAAAGAAGTGCCCTTTGAAGGAGGAAATGGTACTGATTTTATTCTTCAACTATTACATAGTGATTTGAATTACGCGTTGGACAAAAATTCATGGAGAACACTCGAACAAGGATTGCGCATGAGCCCGAAATCGACGATGCAGCGACATCTATAGCGTTCGGACATACTAGTTAAAAAAAAAGAAAAAAAAAATATGTTGATCATATTGATTTATCGAAGTAGAGAATTTCTTACATAATTGGCCCAAAATTTGTTCGTGTATACGCTCCAAGTATAGAAAGCGATAACCGACCAAACAGCCTTCCGATTCGAATAACTTCCGACGGGAGTTCACACTGAGGCCCTAATGCGATGAAAGTCGCTCCACTAATGTTTTCTAAACACGACACGGTTCGGTTATTTCTCGTCGAGTTTCAGCGCATCGAGGTGACGGTCTTGTATATAGGCGGTAGGTGAAGGATACGCGGGATCGAAACGCAACGCGACAAAACGAACCCTTCTTTTTTCGCCGCATAGGTGGCTCCACCTGCCCATCTGTGCAGGTTGCCCCAGAAGGCAAAGGGCGTCTGGCACTTGACGCCACTGCGCGCGAGTACAGCGGTGGCACAGAGCGGCAATCATATCACTTATGTCCTTACACAAACCGGAAAGCTGCGCTGCCATGGTAGACGTGCGGCTCTGTCGAGACGAAGGGTTGTGTTTAATGACGCGCCCGTGTGTGCGCCCTAGATTATTTTCCGCCAGGAATACTTGTATACGATTGTGACCGTAAGCCATGTCATCTCGCTAAACAGGCCTACAAAAGACCACGACGAACGATTACGCGAGAGCGAACACCCATAAAGCATTATGTTCCGCAGATTAACGTCATCCGCTTTTAGATGTATGTGGGGATGGGGACATTATTTGGACACATATACGCCTGCAGTCCTCGTCAAGGAGATAGATAGAGTAGATAGATAGATAGATAGATAGATAGATAGATAGATAGATAGATAGATAGATAGTAGATAGATAGATAGAGTAGATAGATAGATAGATAGATAGATAGATAGATAGATAGATAGATAGATAGATAGATAGATAGATAGATAGATAGATAGATAGATAGATAGATAGATAGATAGATAGATAGATAGATAGATAGATAGATAGATAGATAGTGATGATACATTCCGACGCGTGTGGCGGTGGTCGCGGCGAAGTAAATTGAACAGCACTCAAAATGATCAGTCGGGTTGCAAAGACGAAGTCGGAGAGGCGCCTTAGTCAAAGTTATGAAAGTTTTGCTTAGCGGGAATTACTAGAGGAGAAAGGAAAAGGTGGCCGGTGAAAGGTTTCATAAAGCAATATATTCAAGGGACGGCCAATGTGACTGACATTTATGACGTTAAGGCACGTACGTTAGGAAAATTCATTGTTTAGTTAGACAACACAGCCACACGTACGACAGGGAGGATGCGACGATTAAACATGCCAGATGTAATGATGTTGGCACAAAAACTTGAGGAGCCAATGAGATATGCTAATGCAAAGCACCAGAGTCAAGATCTGAAAAATAGAATGATTATCTAGCGAAACAAAAATTATGACAAAGAAATGTGCACATGTAAAAGAGACCATGCATACCGTTGAAACTTATCACTCTACGCAAATAGTTTTTTGGTGCCGCTGAATTAGACGACTAACTTTCAATCGCTGAAACGCATGGGACGAAGCAAGAAGACTGTGCGAATCGCATGTTGAGTACTTCAGTGGTATTAAAATGGGTTAATCACGATACGTAGGGCAATGCTGTTGATCAAGTGAATCCAAGTGTTCCCTGCGGATCAATAAAAATATTGTACTATTCTAAAACCCATAGGTACTTATAAAAATGTGCAAACATCTATTGCAGTGCGATAACGTGGGCATCGGCAGAGAGGCACTTGCATTCCCACCACTGAGCCAAGCTTTACAAGCATTAGCTCTCAACCCAAGGCATGCAAGTCCCCCCCCCCCTCACCCCACAGCTATGCCACACGAGTTGGCAACATCTAGACAACCTTAATTGCCGACGACTATGAGTGCTAGTGTTGTGTCTTATAGAATTTTAGTCTGTTTGCAAGGTTCTTTCCGTTTGCGTGTTATACGGATACCGTAGCCGAAAACATCTCAAAGAGGCCGGATAGGTGCTATCATCTGGCGGGGCCGTGATGAACGAGGGAAGCATAGAATTGTTACAGCAGAAACCTTGTGCATTTTACTTCCTGGTGGTGTAAATCTGCGACAGAAGCCTAATATAGACCGAGTTGACTTTTGACTAATTGTGTGTGCCCGAAACGTCGCAAGATGTCGGTACCATCAACCAGTCCTTTGCGCATAACGGATTACCGCAGAAGCTTAAAGGTGGAAATCGACACGACGCCTCTCCCTGTGGACGGTGTGCTCCGCGAGTAGACGCGCCACTGAAAGCCACACAGCGGTAGACTTCAGAACTGCGAAGGGGAGAACATGGCCTTCGACATTGCGGGCGCTCGGCGTCGCGCCCGCAATCTCGGAGGCCATGGTGAGAAACAAGGTGGCCGGCTTATCAAGGACAGTAGACTCCCGAGACCACCATTCCACGTTCGTTCAAAAAAAAAATAATAAAGTCTGCCGCGTAGACGCAGGAAACGCACTACGCGAATCCAATTGCGATAACCCTGTTCTCTGAGGTGGCCCCAAAACTCGAGACAAGTGTCACGGCTGTTCATGCGATGCGTCGTTTCAGACGCACCTCGAGTTGCCTAAAATTGACTTGCTTGCATTATTACCGAGCCTATTGTGCCCGCGTGACACACCCGAATTAGGGACAAGAAACGGATACTCGTTTGCGATATGCACAGTACACGAAACTAACCGACTGTAGCAGAAAGGCTGGACTTCTCGAGCCGGTGACGTATTTTTCAAGCAGTGTGACATTAGTGACATTGATGACAAAATTTTTGCAATAGTACGATGTCACCAAGTGCGATAGTTTGGAAGCATATTTGACATATCATATTATTTTCCAGGCCAGTGCACTTAATGTTCAGCAACCAGCTCAGACCGCAGAAAGGACAAGAAAGGGAAAAGAGGCAAGCGCTCACTTTGAACTGGGTTGTCAATTAACCCAATTTCAAACCTGCGTTTAAGGCTTCCATCCTAGCAAGCGCTTACTTGATGTTCTGGCCAACGTATGCCGTGCACACTATGAGAAGGAACGCCCACGGGTGAAGAAATGAAAAAAAAATAAAAGCAGCAGTTCAGGAATAGTTGAGCGACGAGGTGCCCCGCCGCGGTGGTCTAGTAGCTAAGGTACTCGTCTGTTAACCCGCAGGTCGCGGGTTCAAATCCCGGCTGCGTCGGCTGCATTTCCGATGGAGGCGGAAATGTTGTAGGCCCGTGTGCTCAGATTTGGGTGCACGTTAAAGAACCCCAGGTGGTCGAAATTTCCGGAGCCCTCCACTGCGGCGTCTCTCATAATCATATAGTGGTTTTGGGACGTTAAACCCCACATATCAATCATTGAGCGACGAGAAGTCGTCAAACAGAGGCAAAGACGGACTGGGATGTGAAAAAAGAAAATAGAGTAATGAAGCAGAACAAGACTACCACCAACGTAGAAAAGTCTTTCACATTGACGAATAATAGCAATGTAAAACACTGTCATAGTACATTTAGCATCCCACTGAAAGACGTAAAAAAAAAAAAAACCGTTGTTCTATCATACAATGTATCGGTTCTACGTATCAACGCTTGTTCCTCGAGAGGACAGACATGAGTATCCGATATCCTTGTTTCCATTAGGCGGAAATGTGTGCCTTTGTGGGCCACACAATCGGACAGATAGCCGATGTTCAGTGAAAGCGGTGGTGTGGATGAAAAACGAAGCCGAGGGCGGTAGGGAGTTTGGTGGAGGAGAGAACTTGACATGCGCAGCATGCAATGAGCTAGCGCATGACATGGTAAATTGGAAATCATTGTGCGAAGCTTTCGTCTTGCAGTGGACATGAAGATTGTGATGTACAA